CACGGACTTCGATAACACTTATCTCGGTGACCCAGAAAATACGCCGTGGGCCATCACAACAGTTATCCCTTGGAGGGCCTCATGGAAAAATCAAACTAACCAGTCACTTATCCCTTCCTTTCTCATAAACCACTGTATAATTATAGAAACACAAAGTAAACTCTCTCCAATATATGCCCATTAACATATTAAACTAAGTTCATCTGTGTTCAAACTCAGACAAAGATACTAGCGAGCTTAATAGTTTTAGATATTTATTCATAACATAAACAGCGCTAGCATTTCTGTCGATTCCATTTCGGCTTAACCGGCTATCCGGAAGAATACATGCACCATACTAACTGCTACGGCAGTTATTTTCTCCTTTGAATACTGCCCACCTGCAATAATGATTCCGCAACGTACTCCTTGCGCTATCTTTTGACCATTTGGCAACTTTTCGTTTCGTAGCTGACACGGTACAACACTTTTCTTTTGCTTACTTCACACGGCCAGTCATTTTGTTTACCAAGCAATGGTGTGCTATGCGCATGCGCTAGTAGAGGGAAATCCCTGAACAAAACGTTGGTCAGACAGGTAGAAAAACCGATGATTTTCTTTGATTTAATCATTTTTATGAATCTATTTCAGCCAAATCCGATCGTTATTTTCCATAAGGATTCTCACTTGATATGTTTATGTAGTATTTGAAAAAAAAGACAAAAAATAAAGTTACTTCACCGTGATGCCACTTTAAATTGGTCAGCGAACCATGATAGAGACGTTTGTATCTGTTAGGTCAGTGGTCCGTAGTAGTAACAGGGTACACGTGTTCAAGTTTTTAATCCGAGAATCTTTTTCTTGCATGATGGATAAACAGGTATATTTTCTGGTGAAAATTGAAATACATGTAAAAATATACAATATATATATATATATATATATATATATATTAATGATTCATTCCACTGTGGTATTTTACTTTAAAAAATGCAAGTTGGGAAAGTACAAGGTGGCTAACCAAGATAGGTATCTAACTTAATTTTGTGCAACATTATATGGTTCAGATTACATGTGTAGCAAAATAAAGTAGAATGGTAACACCTGTCTGGAAAATCTGGCTCCGCCCCTGGTCAGTTCTAAATAAATAAAATAAAACCGTTGAACATGGAAATAGCATGACTAATAAAAATGACAGTTAGATATTATATAAAATAATAAGTTTTGTAACAATAAGAACCAAAACATTTAATAATGTATTTTTTCTTGTATTTCAGGCAGCACATGAACATTTTGAAGATGTGAATAAATCCAAAGAGGCTGCAATTATCAAAAACAACTGGATTGGAACTGAATATATTGTTATCTGCAATACAGATTTAACATGTGATCATTAAATGGACTGCATGATTGCCAGACATCGTATACATGCTGTGCAGTTGTGACCCAATATGGATTCAAAAGTGTCCAGCAAAGCCATTTTATCACATATTTTTTTTTAGATACACTGGGAATACACGATATCTCATCAAAACTCAAAAGTTTCCTTGATGTAGAACTCCCCTCTAGTTGAGACCATAGCTCCCTCACATATCCTCCCCACCTAGTCACTTTCTTAATTGGTTGGTGCATTTTGCAACAGGTCATGGGACCCCTTTATGGGTATCGAGCCTCGTATTGGTATGTCCTGGAATCAGAACTTGACCATTAACATAATCATACTAAGAGGTGTATACTGACATATGACATATAGAAAAATCCTAGCTGACCTAAAGACATTTGTGACACACGTGCACTGCTTATGGTCTGTAGGAAATATATGTTTCACCCTCTACCAATAGGCACTAATGATATGTTGCAACAGTCATATAATTATTCATTCGGAAGTCAACTCTATTTTTATGGCAGAAGCAGAGCCCAAAGCTTCTTGAAGCAGTACTTGTTGTTGTTCCTCGGAGGGAAAATACATTTCAAACTATTGCCAACACAGACATTAGATAAGAGTAAATATTCGTTCAAATTATTTTCAGGAAATTTAAATGGTGTTTATCCTGCATCTCAACTGACACTTTTGTGTTCGTTTTTCCTAAAATGTTATATACACGTACATGTATATAACTATGGAAATATTGCAACATCAAAAAAGCATGTGTCTGGAGTACTTTCAGTACTTTGATTTCATTATTGATCCAATAACAGAAGTGAAAAGTGTTTCATTCTATTCAGACAAGACACATTCTTATTAGGACAAAACTATTTCATATTTCGTTATTTACTATTATACTTAATTAAAGTTTCAATTAATGCAAAACGTACGTCAAAAACAACAACCGGACAAATTTCGGAGTTTTTAATTTTGCCTGTCTTTTCAGATTGATAATTTTCTTTGTATGGAAATTTCGACAAAGACGTATCACAAATATAACTTTATATATCCCAAATATCTGACAATATCCTCCTGTCATCACGAAAGATTCATACTCAGCGTCCTTCATGGCAAGCGTTATATTCTGTTCATAGCGGTTTGTGACGTCATTTCTGCCTCCGTAAATCTTGTTTTTAAATCCCTGCACTCATTTGGCGCGAATTCATTGAACTTCTTTGAAAATCTTTCCCCGTAGATGTTACACGAGTTATTGTGACGTTTTCAAAGTTGTTCAGATGTACTATCGATAATTACCATCAGATGTATGATATGACATCAAGTTCTGAAAACCTATTCAGTAATACAGCGATACTTTTAGCAGGCGCCATGAGTTTAAGCGGCGTCCTCAACATCAACGTCAGGTTACATATACTTAGCCTCTGTGTGATTTTGTGACGTCATATCATTGTTTATATGACGTCACTGTCACACAAAAATTGACTTCATACTGGCTCCCAGGATCGTTTGACCGGAGGCAGGCCTACCCAATACTGCTCAAGGCGAAAACGGTAACAGGGAAAATAGGTCTGAATATCATCAACGACACGTCAGAAGACTGACATTCCGAAAGCGAAACCTGCATGAGTACTGTCCTTCGTTTATTGTGAGTTAGAATGTTGTGTAATTCATTTTGTAGACGTCATTTTCGTTTCACATCAAACTCATCAAGGCGTTTCATGTTCGTGTAATTTTTCAACCAACTGAACGGCTACAGTATAACACACCATATATACACCATATGGTGGGGAAATATTCATCTCGTTATAACACACAATATATTTTGGAAGGTTTACCTTGTTACAACGCATCATAGATAGTGAGGAAAAGTGAACCTCATTTTAACGAACGATTTTTTTTAAGGTTGACCTAGTTTCCACACCCCATACAATGGGGAAAGGTTAACTCATTGAGACACACCATATAGTGAGGAACTATTTATCTTGTTAACACAAACAAATATATTTAAACAATTACTGGTTGTCTGGATGTAATTATTGTTGATATAATTACATCCAAACAACCAGGTATTTTTTATATTTACATTTTTCCTTTTTTAAGACATGTTCCTACAAAAACCATTTGCCCTGCCTCAAAATACATTTCAGGCGGCCATTTTGTTTGTTTACATATTCCTACACCTAAAACAGGCAGTTGTACTTATAGTCGAGCAGTTGTTATTATAGCCTATATAATTACACTTGCCCTCTAACACTGTTGTAATGGGACGGCGCGGGGGCAAATGTAAATATAGTTACATGTCTATAGTGGTGTATGTTTAATCTTGCAACCTCTCATCTTACGGTTGAAAAAATATGCATTGGAGATTTTGAAAGTATTCGGCAAAACAGGTTTTAAACTAAAAAATAACAAACAAAAAACATCGTTGTTATTTTAACAATTCGATACCTCAATCTTATAAAGACCGTATATATAACAACCCGGACGTAACACAAATGCGACAGAAAGCAACGTTTAACTTAAAAATGACCTTATCGTCCTATATTATGTACCGGTAATTATTATTAGTGCACCACTATCTTTGTTGACACTGTCCCTGTTTTTATCGGACCAGTCGACTGATTATTGATTCATGGGCCATGCTCAACAGTTTTCAGTCAAAAGCTGTTAGAGCTCCTGAACGCTAGAGGTAAAATTGCAAAAAAAGGTGTCAGTTCTGAATTCCTGTCTTATTCTGGGATTGGATTCATGCAAATTGACAGTTATACACTGTATCTATCTATCTATCTATCTACTATCTATCTATCTATATGTTATACTCCACAGAGACCAAAATGGCTTTAATGCGGAGGGGTATGACTCCTGTATAACTGTATAACTGTATGTCCTGGGTATGTATAGGTCAGGATAGTTCCACCCGAGATGTTTTCAAATTGATTTGTCCCTATTTTTATTTTCCAATACTGTAAAATGCATCGGAAGATTTGAATTGTATGGAAAACTCCAGTAGAAAAGGACCTATACACATACTTTATGATAGTGACCACGGTGGTTCATGTAATACAATCTTTACCTCCGTTTTATTTTTACAGTTTGCTACAAAGTTTATTCCAAGAGTTTGAATGAAATCTTAATCCGGGGTGATAAATCGTTCTAGCCTACAGGACTGAGAAATCGCTAACCGGAGGGGGAAATCAACAGCTATTGTATAACGAGATCTCATTCGGGTGAGGAATCTTGCTGAGGATAAGAAACCGATCGTGGCGTAACAAACGTCCTTTAATTACCACTTGTAAACCTACAGATACTAACACGTGTCTCATGATTGACTCCACACTGATATGATGAATATAAAATTAACCTAGTTCCATATATTATCATATCGTATAATATCCACGGATTGAACGTTCCATAATTTTGATTCAAGAATTGCTTTAACATGCGTGCCATTTAGAGATTTGATCAAACCGAGGCGTCTTCGTCCATCCAGGCTTGCGTACGTGTCGCGCCCTGTCTCATTTTTATTTTGCTCTCTATAACTTTCCTGTAGAAGATGAGTAAACTCGCTGTATTCCGAGTTGTGAGTCACAAACCGTAAGTGTATTGGAAGGTGTGCTATAAGTCTTTATCAGCATACGTCACAGATCACATGTCCGGTCACATTTCAGATAAGAGCTAGAGTTACCCATGTTATATATCTTAAATACTGCTATAACTTGGACTAACTACACTCGTAATGGTTTACACACATTGACGACAGCAGTGAAGGTAAATATGATTTATATTAATGTTTATAGTAATTTTAGAGTAAAAGAATAATCGAAGTTATTTCCCAGTCCGGATGATGGTGGCACGCGAATCCTTTTCGTGTACCGGGATTTCGTTGGGTACTTAAGATATAGAGAGCAAACAGGACACAGGTTACCGGACCCCACTGTTATCACTTATTTCGATGAGAGGTCAGGACTAACCATTCAGAAATAGTACTGTAATACTTATACTACTGTATGAATATACTACCTGCCCATATTGTCTCGGAATTGTGTACACGTGAATGATAATTATAAATATATGTGCAGTGGCGGATCCAGAGGGGTTTTTTGGGCTTCAGGAAACCCCCCCACCCTGAGATTTTTCTTTAAAAACCATGTATTTTTACCATTTTCCTCAATTTTTCCCCACATGGAAACCCCCCCAGGAAATTTGGAACCCCCCCTAGATAGGTCTCTGGATCCGCCACTGATGTGGACCTGCTGTTACACCTCCTCTCCTTTATACATATATGTTAATGAACTGGCTAGCTAGTTACGCTACCCAGCTGACAACTCTCTATGGTGTTGTCTAGCTGCGATAACGTAGCTTTCTGACGACGAGAGATTTATATAACAGCCATTAGTACTAAGTGCTGTCGTTAATTTTAACAGCTACATACATACTACCTCTCCGCCTTATTGTCAATATGTAAATTAATGATGTTCATAAACTTGTCTAGTCAGCATCATCCTAGCTCTATCAAACGTCAGTCACATCGAAATTATAGAAGATTCATAAATTCCTCACCTAGCTGTAGATTAGTATTCTGAGTCCCATCATAGAACATGTACCATTGATGTTCATAAGGTATATGTTTAGATTTGGAGTTTTCCTCAAATAAGGATATGCAGGGGCGTAGCTAGCCCTATTGTTGGGAGTAGAAGTGGGTCCAGGGCAGGGCTTTGTTAGGGGACAAGTGAGTGCAACAAGCAGCGGTTTTTGTTCCGGTTGAACGTTTGATGGAGGCAAGCATATAGGTCTATCTATTTTGAAAAATGCATCATAAGGAGAATGGGAAGGGATGTACAGGCAAATTTGAAGAGGTCGTTATAATTATTTCCAATACCAGGATTGCGAGATTACTTTTCACTTTCCGGGCAAATAGTATATTAGAAAAAACAACAACCTTGAGTTAACATTCCACAACTACAGTACAAAATATACCACTCGGAGGTGAAGCACGATACCTCATCCAGGTCCACTGTGCATAATAAATACACCTGAGTTGATCAGCTAACAAAATATCGATATACGAATATGCTTTTAAAGATCAGTACACAAGCACTTGTATCATCAAATGAAACATCAATTTAATTTATAATCATCAACCACACCGGAAGTCATCTAGGAAATAGTCATTGGCGAGTTTATGGGGTAACATTAATACACACGTATTTGTAACGAGATATTAACACGCGTCTGCTGACACAAAGGGAATCAGGATATATGTGTTTAATTATCAACTGTTTTATCGTATGTGTGTTATCGTGAAAAGAAATAATTTGTAACGATAACATAAATTATGAAGGTAACCCAATATCTTTTTACTGTTAAATTTGATTTTTGATGTCCTACATGTAATATAATATGTACCTGCATACGTTGACGACGGGAAATAATCGATACCAAGTTTCGTTACTATGACGAGCGATACCTAACCGATTGTCTTTCAACAAGAGACTGTTATATGGCGTATTAGCAAAATATCTTAAACAGTATAAATATAGAATACGTTCGAATGTCATTGTAATTTGCATGTGTGCTGAAGTGGTGTGGTCTATTTTTAACAGGACATATTAATATTCAGATAGAATGTACTCTGAGATCGTAAATCTGAAGTAATTTTAATGACATCATTACAATTGTGACGTCATAACCATAACATTGGAGAATCCTGGCTGATATTGGCTTTCGGCTGTTTTTTCATTGAAAATTAACCTTAAAAAAATTCAATATGTATTTATTGTCAAACTTTTATGGAAAAAGCAATTAAAAGTCTTAAACTGTCTTCTGTTCAATAGAGTTTATGCTTATAATTCTGAACAGGCTTGCAAAAAATACCCCACATCTTAACGCACTAACGTCCGTAATTCAATTTGCCTGCAACCCTAATCAAATACATTGGGCGTGTGTGTAAACTCCATTATGAACTCCAGTATGATGAGGTAGCATTGTGCGTGTGTGGAAACTCAGGTATGTTTTATGTATCATTAGGCTTGTGAAATATCTAGCATTTGGCGTGTGTGGAAACTGAAGTATGTTTTGTGTAGTTTTTGACGTGTAGGTAACCTACGCATGTTTTAGGTTGTAAGTTAAAGGTGTAATATTGTGTGTGTGCTTTCTTACTTTTAGTGTTTTTACATGATAATCGTGGCCAAACACTTAGTTGTTAATATCATTTATATTTGTGATCTAAATGCCCATTGAAATTGTTATAACATTTATGTTGCAGATGATCACGTAGACTGGATAGAACACTAACAGACAAGTTATCTTCAATATTCAATCAGGACTTGTGCGTTCTATAGAATAATACACATCGTACACCATTATGGGTAAAGCTGCACAGTTTCTGCTGCTGACATGGAAGAACTGGACGATACAGAAGCGTAAGAAGGCCGTGACGATTTTTGAGATAATTCTACCCGTGGGTTTCGCAGCTCTCCTGGTGGTGATCCGTTCTCTGGTGAAAACAGAGCTTATTTCTACCGATACAATATGGCCGCCGTTTCCTTTGATGGAAAACGCTACATCCAAGAGAACAGAAATCCTCTTCGCACCTAACCAGACTGCTATTATAAATCTGATGATGGACATTTCTCAAAACGTCGGCCCTAACTTTACTGGTTAGTATGTTAAATAATGTGTTTGATTTATTTGAAGATACTCTTGCCATTATTTCGATATGTACTATAGGACACGTCACATGTGTCGCCTTGGTGACGCCGTACCTTCTGTCCAAAATAAATGAGAGAAAAAACAATATGAGAGGTTCTTTCTGTTTCCGCTAATTTGGGACACCAGATAGACAAAGAATATTAATTTACTTATTTTACCATGCATACTCAAGGTTTTTCTTTCTTTTTCATTTCCTTTTAGATTTTGTGTAATACATGAACGTGGTATACTATTTCAGGGTGGTGTCCCACATAATGACCCAGGTTTTTCTTCTTTTTCCATTTCGTTTTAGATTTAGTGTTATACATGAACGTGGTATAACTTTTCAGCGCGGTGTCCCACATAATGACCCAGGTTTTTCTTCCTTTTTCATTTCGTTTTAGATTTAGTGTTATACATGAACGTGGTATAACCTTTCAGCGTGGTGTCCCACATAATGACCCCATCGTTAATGTATGGACGTCGGATAGTGGGAAAATGACTATGATATAACTTTAAAACAATTTTGCTTTGTGAGAAGTATTATTAAATGTTTAAGGGGTTTGTATTAACAGTATTATTGGGGGTTGAGATGATCAAATCAGGATATGTCCACATGTGGTTACGGGAAGGATAATGAAGTCTGGTCGAAACAACTGACTCATCTTTAAAATGTTCGATTGAGTGGAGATAGACTGAAAGAGGAGATAAATATATATATAGTTAGTTTTTTTCTGACTAACGATAAAAAGCACATACAAATACATGTTTATTGAAGTTTATGATTTGAATAGTGTATATATTCTAACACACAAAGGCACTAAATAACAAAGTGTTTACATCCAGTGTTATGGCAAAAAATCCTCTTGTGACTTTAATTTATCCATTCATAAATTATTATTGATTGTGGAAAGGTGACATTCTTCATATAACTCTGTTTATACAATATTGAATTGTGTAAACATGGACACAGTGCACGTGATTGTGTATCCCGCTCTACACAGACACTTTTATTGTGCCTACCCTGACCCCTGTCGAGTGATAAAACTTCCCAGCTTTATCGAGATATAGGTTGTAAAACTTACACAACCGTCACTGGAGCACATGTCTCAAACGTGAGTGAACCCGTGATAACACCCGCCATTAGCTGCTAAACAAATCACGTGATACAACATATTCACAATCATTACATCATCGTCTATGATTTTACTTCACATGATCAACTAACTTATTTCGCAATATCAGAGTGGAATTATTGACGGGAATACACAATTCCTAGTTTTTGCCAGCATGGAAATATAACCCAACTACAGATGATATATTTGTTAGAAAATAGAATGGCGTTTATCACATGTATACGTCGGGGATGCATTTTCACATAATTCGAAGTATCTATAATATAGATAAGTATATTGTCATTGTGACGTAACAGTATATAACATATCGATACAGTTAACTGAATGTATATCTTAAAACCAATGTGGTATCTGTAAATAAAATATAGTACAAGAAATCGGTCCAAAACATTTCACTGCGTTATCTTGCATATGTAAGACCACAGAATAATCTTTTTATCACGTTGTCTCTATTTAAATGATCCGAAACCAACATTGATAAGCTGTTCCCATGGCAACACGTGCATTTGTTATATACACGTGCCTGTCTCCCCCCTTCTTTACTCTTTCTCTGTGCTGTGTCCCACTAAGCACTCTGGGTCAGCCCGGGATTTTAGTTAATCTTTTTTCTGTTATACTGTTTCGTGTCCCACTTAGCATTCTACAGGTAGCTCCAAAAACAACCTGAGCGTTAGAGAGGTTACTTGATATGGTAGGTTACTATAGTAAGTTAGTAACTATGGTAGGTTATTATAGTAACCTATAACATATAGAAGATAGACATTAGATGTCTGCATTGTCTTTTTTTTTTTTTTTTTTTTTTTTTTTTTTTTAAAGACGTAATAAAAACAAAACAAAATAAAACATAGAATGATATAAGTATGCGACAATTTGTAGAACCATACTGGAGAGGAATGTACATGTACGACAATTCATAATAATGTGAACCGGGACATATGTATATACATGTATTACAATTCGTAGTTCCAAACTAATAGGGATATTGTCTTTATATAATTATCCGAAGCGTCTTACCTGCTTAGAGGAAACATAAGAAGACTGAATTTAAACTTGTATTGCAGTGCGAGGTTACGACACGGCAAAGGAGATCGAGGACTATCACGCGACTAACGACAAAAATATCTGGGCTGCGGTGGTGTTCAACTCCACGGCAGACTACCGGACAGTTTTACCCCCAAGTGTCCAGTACGACCTGAGTGTATCCAAACGGACCAATGACGAAAGGTGGCGCACGGAAAACTCTTACCCATTCTTTCGGACTCCTTGGTTCCGCAATGACGCTGACGACGGTGGAGAGCCGTGTGAGTCACATTACTTGTACCAATTAAAACCAATACATTCCTATGATAATACTCCAAATCTACATTATATTATAAAACTTATTAAAATGTTCTTACAAATATATTGCTATCAAAGTCGGAAAGACACTAGTCATTTGTTTTTACTTTGAAATATATGTCGGCGTCAATACACTATCAGTGTATGAACGACGTCATTTCTGACATTTCAAACTTCAATTTTTTAGTAAGTTCAAACTATCAACTGAATACTATATGTGTCGTTCCACACTGGGTCCTCCCACATGGCACTAACGTGTCAGGTGTCGCACTGCGATGTACATTTCGCACACAGTCTAGAAGGTCAATTTGGTTACTATTAATAAATATCTTATCTTTTGAGTAAAGTTTAAATCAATATAAATGTAGACGAACGTGGCGTGCATTGAGAGCATAAATCGTTAACAACATATGTTTGAGGACATGTGTACTTGTCCCTTGCTGAGTGTTGTAAATTTAGTGGGTGTGGCCACTCGGTTGTTTCTAACCCGTTGGCGAACACAAGGGCATTAACTGAAGTTGACAGTCCAGGAAATGTCTAAACTCGTCAGTATCTATTTTAAATCGATCCCATGCCTTGTAATGGAGCAAGCCCAGTGTGAATCACACCGGCGATTTTAGCACATTGGTCCGCATCCATAAATAGGGTTGAAGTATGAAATATTTCTGTTGACTTCATGCACAGCTTGAAGTTTAACTCTGCCTAAAATGTCGTTAAATTATCAAGTTCACGAAGCAAGCGCAATCGAAATCTGAATTGACCGCCATGTTGGAACGTTCGTCTCTATTCCGATATAGGTCGGACATCTAAATATGGGTGTCATGACCCAATATGGAAATTGTAGTAAACATGGCGGCATCAGTAGTAATACTATATTTGGCTATGCAGGCCACATATAGAAAGGATAATTGATATATCATCACGCATGATCTGTCATGGCGATCGTTTCTATTCCCCCCCCCCCCTCCTCCAAGACAGATTTAGTTAATTTCGTGTAAGAGTTTTTTTTTCATTGGTAAGGATTCGATTTTTCAACAATTATGCAATATTTTGATAGCATTATACTCATATGAGGCGTGAATTATATATAGTCTTATAGATTAGCATTTTTGATTTTGCTCCATCAGTTGACAAAGGACCGCTTCGTAGCTCTGACGACGCAATATATATATATATATCCACTGCAGAATTGAGAGGCGACTAATGAGGGCATTCCGTAGGAAATTGAGATTTTTCACATTTACCGGGCCAGATTCCCACATGCACATTTTCCACGTTTTTGATATCTCGTTCCTTCTTTCTGGTGCTTATCTCTCGTTGACTCACTTTATGTGATAGTGCATCTTGCGCAAGAACATGTCCTCTACATCAGCGTTCCTTGTCCGCGATGCTCTCAGCTTAATTGCTGCCTTCGACTGTCTTTAGCCGAGGGGACTATTGGTTTTATATAATAGCTATATTTTTAATTATAGTATATAATAATAATAATAATAATAATAAACTACATTTATTGAGGATACAAAACCTGTTTAGCAAAGCTAATCTTCCACAGGGTACTCTGTTAGTAAAATTGGTTAGTTAAAAGACAAAATAGTATCACAGCAAATAAATGTACATAAAATAATTGTTGGTCTTACTAAAACAGCCATTCATATCACAGTTATTTCATAATTTAAACGGTCGTTCAATACAATTACAATAAAATTATCACAGAAGCAACGAAACATATTCCGTGCTTAACCCATTATGGTTTTCATTAAAAGACAAATTGTCTAATTTACATATATATGCTAATGTAGCAAAAGCTAAAAATTGACAGAATACACGCTAATATAGCGAAAATAAAACAATTCAAAGCTGTATCTAAAAAGTATAATAGTAAAAATAAAAGACAATTAAACCGCATTCTTAATGTTACCAATCATATTTTGTTTGATTTTGTCAAGGAGGAAGAGAGTCGTACTTCAACCAGTAAATTATTCCAAATCTGGCTCCCTTGTACCAAAAAGTGTTTGGAATAAAATGTGGTACAGTGTTTGGGTACCTTGACAGAGTTTTGGGATGCTGATCTAGTATATCTGTTGGTAGACAAATTAAATTGATTAGAAAGATATCCTGGAACTAGATTATTTATACATTTGTACACCATAACACCTCTTTTGAATTTCAAATATTCGCCAATTGGTAACCACCCTAATGAAGAAAACATTTCTACTGATAGTGTATCAAATGGAGCATCCAACAGTAATCTTGCAGCTTGTTTCTGCGCGTTTGACTGTTTTTGAAGAAGATTTAAAGAGCATCCGCTCCATACTGTGCTACTGTACATGAAGTGGGGAAAAATATATGCATGAAAAAAATTAAGTCTAGCTGAAGTGGTAAATATTGACGGATGCGTCGAAGTAAACCCAAACCACTGTTAATCTTTGAAACAACAGATGTTTTGTTATCTGACCAAGATAAACTGTTGTCAATTTTTACACCATATATATTTATATCAGTTCTATCTTCTTGTAATATGATGTATATGTACATGTAACTGTTATGTTTCACTGTGTCTTGATAAAAAGAAAAATTCTCAACAACGAGTCTTTAGTACTTTCATCTCTTCTAGGAGATTCTTCAGACTGTTCATTGAAGTATAGTTGTGACGTCATCAACTATGACGTCACATAATAGTTAGCTATAGCGACGTCCGCTATTATGTGACGTCATAGTTTATGTTGTTGTAGATAATGAATTGGCGTTGTAAATGACGGATCTATTGTGTCCTCAGACTATCGTGAGACCGGCTTCCTGTTGCTACAGTATTTGGTGGACAGGGCCATTATCGACCAACAGGCCCCGGGAAACAATCTGTCCACATTTGAGTTTGAGATGCAGAGGATGCCCTACCCGCCCGTGGTGAAGGACTTCCTCCTCCCTACTCTCCAGGGCAACCTCCCACTTTTCCTCATGCTTGGGTTTATTCTGTCGTCCCTGCAGACCATCAAGAACATACTATACGAGAAAGAGCGACGACTGAAGGTATCTACTTCTTAATGAATTAGACGCGACTCGAGGGGGAGGCTATCTCACACGGATCCACAAAATGTTTTCCACTCACAGCGATTGTCGTGTGGAAAACCTCTCCCTTATCACTTTATCATAATCGAGTACATTTGAAATAACAACTTGTTACTTCCAGTATTGAGCTTCATGTCTATCTGCCAGACTGATACTTTTAGTTATGTATCTTTATTTCACAAATAAGAATGATACGAGACAAATAAGAATGATACCAGACTCTTTGATACGAACGTGTTCGATAGAGGAAACAGCAACGTCTACTTATTAATAAAACGACTAAAGATGTAAGAAAATAAATATAAAAATAGTTCAGCATATATATATGAAGAAGCCCTAGAAGGCAGAAAGGCCTAGCGGACGATCTGAAAAAAATGTTTTTATTCTATATTTTCCTTCGCAAGGACTTATTTATTTATTATCTACTATATATATATATATCGTTAAACTTTGTCTAAAATAACTTTCTTTAATGCGAACTATTAAGGCAAATGATAATCCCAGATTCTGTAGCGTGTTCCGACATTGGTTGCGACAGGTTCAGCCCGTTCCCTTCACACTTGTTTGCTTGTAGTTTTTATTATTACAGGTTTAGTTTCTTTGTTAATCATTCATCATTGGGTTGATTTACAGGAGGCGATGAAGCTGATGGGTTTGAGCTCGACCGTCTACTGGTTGTCATGGTTTTTCAAAGCCCTGGTCTACCTCGTCATCGCTTGTGCTATCTACACCATTTTGTTTGCAGTCAAAATTGGCGACAAGGGTAGCGTCCTCAACAATTCTGACCCCTCATTGGTCTTCGTGTTCCTGATCTGTTACAGTACCTCCATCATCGCCTTCTGTTTCATGATCAGCACCTTCTTCAACAAAGGTAAGACTCTCGTGAAATCTGATGTCACCCAGTAAACTTTTTGTATTTCACTTGTTCGTGTTTCATTATTCCCGCAGTTCGCGTCTCTTATATATAATCCCAAAGTTGACATTTACTGTGTTCCCTTGACTGACATTACCCAATTCACCAGTTTCTACATTCTTGAAATAAATGTCTTTGAATAGCGTCTCGAAGTTAGCGTTTCTTGTGTTTTCTCTAGCAGAGCAGTTAATTCCTTTACTGTTAGTGTCCCCTTCTTTACCGAGTGTAACTTTTTGTTCGTGTGTTGGTCACCGAAGCACACATATTGAATGTCCTGTTTTTGTTGTAGCCAACACTGGTGCTAATGTCGGAGGGATACTCTACTTCCTGTTGTACTTTCCATACTTTTTCCTCGCCAACTATTATGAGACTATGTCTCGAAGTGAGAAGTTGGCGACATGTCTGATATTTAATACAGGAATGGCACTGGGAGTCAACACCATCGGGATATACGAGGGAACAGGTACGTCATATCCGGTTGAAGCAAACAGTTTTGAATTCACTTGTAAAAAAAATGATTTATTTACTTACCAAAGACATTGACGAGATGTACTCGAAGCTATTATTGTAAAGGTAAGTGTGTATGATAGCTAACCCGTAACTTACAATGTAGCCCATCGATGTATTCAAGGAAATGTTCTCTTGATTGTCAAAATTAAACCAAACCAAACCAAATCTTGATTGTCAGTTCAAATCAATAAACTGTCTTTCATGGCTGTTATATCGGTTGTATATATTTAGTAAGGAACGATAAACAGGGGCTAATGTGACCTAGAGCTATGTCTTTAACAGTTATGTAGCAGCACGTAAGATGCTTCAGAGTGATATGTAACTTTAATTACCTTATCACTGTTACCAATTACTACATACAAACGAAGCCACTGGCAAAAGTCAAACACACTGCATCGTTTGATTGTCTCCAAGTTTGCATTACTCCTGTTGATATAGCTTTACGGCCGTACACACCACACACATTTTACGTGAAGATTAATGGTCCTGATTGGTCTTGTTAACAAATTCGTAGGAGCCTATCGAGTCGTCTTGTGATGTAGCTTTACAGCCGTAAACAATGTGAATATGGGTCCTTTTACATGTCACAATTTATCATGACTCGCAAATAAGCTCTTACGTGTCTGCGCGAACAGAACTAAAATTGTGTTGTATTGTATTGTTTATTAGCTTTAAGCATTGCAGCTCATAGGCATATTATAACAACATTTATACATTGATACCAATGAAATGAAATAATCCGATAGAAGAATATGGATATGACATCACCGTGTACACGATTTATGAAAAAACATTCTAGACTGACAGTATCGACAAGGAAGTATTATCATGTACAGGAAAATATTACCACTACATTTGTAAGTACAATGACGTACATTGTTACTAAAGCTGATACAAAATTATCCCTCTGAGACAGGGAAATACAATGGGTCAACTATTTTATTAGTTTTGAACATTTTGTATCAAAATTTGTTTTGATATCATGGCCGTGAAACCCAATATTTACGTTTCGTTTTGACGTTTATTTATAACACGTTTATATTATAAAACTGTAATAAAAATCATATACTGTACAATATACAAACAACATATATGATTTACGCTAGTTCCACCTATACGTATGCATGTATGCACGTGTAATCAAGAACACAAGCACGCGCCTACGCACGGAAACGCGACGTTACACACGCCATCCGGATCGGATTTGTCCCACATCCTAATACTTTTTCCATTGACAATCACGGATATCGTTACAAACAAGGAGCCGGTTGTGTAAGCGTGGCTCACGTGATTAATATGTAAACATATTTACAGATGTATATATACAGAGTGTGGTAAAAACACTATGTGTGTCTAGATTTCTGGATCATGCAATCGTAACCGGAACAAGAGAAGGGTGTTTGACAAAATGACGCGTATTGATATTGTGGTTCAAACAATGACTAGTATTCCCTAGTATTCCTTGATGGAATGATCACGTGTTTGTCTTAAGAATGTCTCTTTCTATGGTGAATGCATATTCTTCATTATTGTAATGGCATTAAGTACAAACTTCATGTTTCTTGTGAGATGATGTGCATGGACGTTCTTAATCTAGATAGTGATCCGGGTGTTTTAGTTGAATCGCATATGGTTGATTTTGCTGGTTATTTCGGCGTGTTTTCCTGTGAATAATCACTGAACCGTTTCTGTTATATAATAAACAATTATTTGGCTAAGATTGTTTTGAATGAATAGATGAACATATTGTTAATAACGTACCTAAATATTAATTCTGACGATAATATCTAACTCATTATAGAGGCAAAAAACCCCGGAAAATCCTTTTTTCGACAAAATGAAATCTCTGGCATACAAAAAAAGGAAAACATAGAAAAATAAAACACAATCGAATGAAGTACATTCAAAATATTACCTGTTAGAGGGGGCAGCCAAACACTTTTTGATATTGAAAACAGTGTGTTTACCTAAGGTAAAGAAAAGTAATGAAGAAACCATTAGAAAACAGGAAGATATCTGAAATGAATATCAAATATTTCAAGAACAATATTTTTTTTCCTTATAATAATATTGGGGATGTTGATCTAAAAACTTTGTTAAATACTGATGGCTATACTGTTCCTTGACTTAACCAGACAGAATATGTTATTTGAGAGGGTAACATTTCTATCAATATAGCTTTACTTCCTTTAATTGGTATGAAAAATACAAAAAAAAATGAAATGATTTAACAATTGATTTTTAATTGTTTTTGTGGAAAAAAGAGCAAATTTATAGAAAGACCACTTGCTTATTTATGTATGAATGCTAAACTATTAGTGACATAAAGACAAGGAATAAATACACATCAAGGGAGACAAACACAAGCAGTTGTGAAAAATATGGAGTGAAATTTCTTTACTATATATAAAATCAAATCAGGATAAATTAATGGAAGATTAAAAAAAACAACTTTTCATAAATAAATAGATAAGGAACAGACAGACCTTTTTGCAGGAATAGAGCCTAATACTAGACTAATTTACGATATCAATGTGTATGTGAAAGAAAAAGAGATTCCTGGTATATTTTCAATTACAGGTTTCGAAAAGGCTTTTATCTGTGTTAGTTGAGAATTCCTCAGTAACACTCTGGATATTTTTGTCACATTTTGGGCTGATGAACTGCAAGCCTATAAAAGCTTTGTATGTCAATGTGTTCACATCTGTTAATCAAATAGAAAATTTCATTTTTGTTTTCGAATTAAGAAAGGCTGTCGCCAAGACCACCCAATGACTGCATGTATGTTGTTAGATTAAGAGGTATTAAGGATATCAACAGTATCTACTTTATTACTTGATTATGCAACTGATACAATTTGTTTTGCCTTAAGTATCGAGTTTTATGTGGACCTGCTCTAAATACCCAAACTTAGTTTTGGTAAAAAAACAAACTAATTAAGCTCAAGTTTCAAAAATGTTCAGAAATGGAACAGAAGGATTTATTAAGTCCTTTCTCACTTTAACATCTTTTGATTTCGTTGTGTAGCATAGATTGTTTTTTTGAAAACTAATAGCAAAACACTTATTCCCCTTGATTTGATGAATATAAAAATAGAGATGTACTGCTGTTTAATGACAGTAAACAACAAACACAGACAATTAACTACTGTGATATTTATATTTTGGTTTTGTTATTTTATGACCGCGGCTCTATATAGACATTTGTACCGACTCGAAATTAGAGGCATAGTGTAAACCAGATATAGAATTGCAATTAAAATTGAGATAAATGCAGATCGAATAACTTATAGAAATTAAAAAGGGCTCATGAAATATAATAAAGATTAAGTGGACACTGGTTTTCCCACAGTTCACTGTTCAACATAAACGGTCAAATGATATCAATATTTGAAAATTAAAGAAAATAATCAGATGAACACACTTGGAACAACGATATGCTTCATTCCCCCCGATTTTCCCAAACTAATTAAGCAATGAGATAGCAAATAATATTTATAACTTTATAAACTTACTTACGTCCTCTAAAGCTTTACATTTTATTTTTATTTATTTTATGTACGATATCCAAATCATTATCAAAATGGTGGTCTTTTTGCGATATACAATTAATTTTACCGAAGAACAGTTTATTATCAAACTGCTCAATATTATCCAACCGGGCATCTTTTCCTGCCTTTTTGCCCAATATTGAAACTGCTTTTACTTCATGCTCGGAGTAGAAATCAGGCCCAGTGATTTTGCCTCGAAATTTGTCTAACGTGAGAAATTTTACAAAGAAACACGATTTCCAGTGTATAAGCTATAATGTCTATACAATGTTAAAAGTTATGCGAGATCTTACCAGATATGTATATATCTTTCTAGATATGATAATTCATTTAACTTTGATATACAAAGTGTATTATACAATGTATGGTATATCCGATATTTCACATACTAAATAATGTACTTATGCATTTGATAAATACCAGGTAGTGTTACTATCTTGCCATGGATACATGCTAATTCACCCTGTCATAAACCTCGGCAATTTACTTGTCGCCATGTGAGTTGTCATATTCTTCGTCAGCATTCATTCATTTGTTTATAATTATTTTTCGTAAATGAGAGGCATCGACATAAAACCAATGACATCCGATATGTAACAAACCTAGGACACACGGCACGTGACAACCGAGGACACCCGATACATGAACCTCACTTGACCCTATTACTTACAGACGACACCCGGAACTTCTAATTACTAACATAACAGAACGGTCTTTGATTTATTTTGCGGCTTCAACGGAAGGAAGATGAGTGCTAGTTTGCGAGAGTAATGACATCAGCGGACTTATGACCATTAAGCAGAAATTGAATAGTCGACTATTATTCTGAATTGAGACGTGAAACAGGCGGTATACGTACATAAATAAAGGTTCATAAATGTGCAAGATTCGGAACTTCAACACAAATTAATTACTGAATCCAATAAAACACAACGCAAAATAAGAAATTGTTGTAAATAAATATAAATAATTATTTCTTGATAAACCTAAGGATCCCTGTCCCACTTCCCTGTCGGGTTCGTATATCCCCCCCCCCCTCTTAATTTAATGTTTGATATAACAGTTGTGTTAGGACACTTCCATTGACCAAATAAGTCAGCCAGTTAGAGCGATAGCACAACATTTTGAAACCTAAGGATAGAATCACGGCCTAGCCTTGCTCCCAGAAAAAGAAACAGTTTCAAAAGATTAGTTTCAGTCCTTTAAAAGTCTATGGATGAGAGCAAGCAATTATTTGTTTATTAAAATATACAAAAAAAATATCATTGGGAAATATATCTTAATATTTGTACAAAAAAATAAATCGTGTGAACATTATTTTGAACTTATAAGAAGTTGACTTAACAATAAATAAATCATGAATACAAAGAATTGTAAAAATTGTAGTTAACTTTAATTGACTCTCCTAATCAGAATTCTAGATCCAGGTACTATGCTCACATAAACGGCGTCTTTAGTGATCATTGGAGTTTTGCTTGTTTAATTTCTCCAGATAATAAGATAAAACTTCAGATCTGAATATGTATTACACAATCACCGAGGAAGATAGGCTGGCATCCAATTGTGTTTTATATTCGGTTTTTAATTTAAAACGCCATATCAATTCAGTTTTCGGAGGTTAGTGCCTTGGCACATTGCCACACTTAGCCTTAAATAAAGCTAAGTTACCATATGACAGTCTTATTCAATTTGTAATATAGTTCCATTACTTTATTATGTTCGCTACCTTTTTACAACTAAATCCTGTTATCACCATGATAGGCGATGGGGCGAGATGGACCAATTTCTATAAGCCTGCCACCGTGGACGACAACTTTTCCCTCCTGGATTCCATGATAATGTTACTGGCGGATAGTGTCCTATACCTACTGGTTACGTGGTACGTGGACAATGTCCATCCTGGGGAGTACGGGGTACCCCAGCCATGGTACTTCCCCGTCTCGGTACGTAACATTCAGCCAACAACGGAGGATGCTTTAATTGTTACTTCTCCTTGTTACATCTCCTTGTTACTTCTCCTGTAACTTTTCATTGATATTCTACTTGTTGCTTCTCCTGTTACTACTCTTTGAAATTCCCCTTGTTACTTCTAACAAACCTTTTCTCATGAAGTCTAAAACAATAAAGTGATTTGCCTTATGAAAATACGCCTCTTTGACATTGTTATAAACAAAACTAATAACACTACCGTCTGTATCCATAGAAAACATACTGGTGTGGTGCAAGGCCCCCCTCAGAAAACTACAACCACGAAGAGCTCCCCTCTGTCACCAACCCAGAGAAATTCGAGAGAGACCCCAGTGGCTTACGAGTCGGTATCAAGATAAGCGGCCTAAGGAAGGTAAGGAACGCGCCTTTAATTTGTTATGATTTTTATCGTTCATGAATGTTCTGTATCACTGAACTATAGCTGGTTTTGTAGTTTTGGAAGACAGCTGAGTTTTGTTATAGTGATCATGAATTTTACGATATTGTTAGTTTCATGTTAGAAATATTCGATGACACCCTAAGCTTATTGCAATATTTTTGTATTCAGGTGTTCGGTTCCGGGACAGGAAAGAAGGTGGCGGTCACCAACACAACTCTTAACATGTATGACGGACAGATCACAGCCCTGCTAGGACACAACGGAGCAGGCAAGACAACCACAATGTCTATGCTGACAGGTAATACACATGAAACATCGTTTGCTTGTTTTATCACTCTTAATACTCTAATATTCCACGACTGTAAGTATTATAACATAATATACGCAATTGTAAACATTATAATGCAATTGAATTCCACCGCCAGGTTTCATACCTCCCACCAAGGGGACGGCGACTGTTAACGGATACGATATCTGTACCGACATTTTGCACGTGAGACAGAGCCTGGGAATGTGTCCACAGCACAATATCTTATTCGACACCTTGACCGTCCAGGAACATCTTGAGTTCTTTGCCCAGGTGAGTCTACAGCATGACCGCCCAGTCTTTTTTCGTGTAATTTTAACACAACGATTTCCATTATAACCTCGTTAACTGCTCTGGCATTGATCTCTGTCAGTAGAAAGAATCACCACTTTCTAATTAGAATGTCATTTTTTCACTTGATCGACGCCCAAGTCTGTTTCTGTAAAGAAAACTGTTCAAACCTTAGTTTGTAGTTCCTTCTTTATGGAATTGTAGACCAGATAAGATATTGAATATCAATAGAAATATGACCAGTGTTGTTATTTTGTAAATAAAAAGTGTTTTTAACTTCGTCTCATATAACTAAGTATTCGTTCTATTGTAGTTAAAAGGAAGTGAGAAACGTATGATCCGCCAGGAAGTTGATGACATGATCAGCATACTCGAGCTGGAACCGAAAAGACACAGTTTTTCCGTCACCCTCTCCGGAGGACAAAAGCGGAAGTTATCGGTTGGAATCGCCCTGATTTCTGGATCAAAGGTACCCATAGAACCACATTATCTCCCTTTTCTATCCGATAACTAAATGCAATCAATCCATTCCAATATTGTTGAATACAGGCGTGTCTTGACCCTATTTATGTGTAGAACATAGTAAAGATGTTTAACCGTTTCTGCCTAGGTGGTCATCCTGGATGAGCCTACCTCCGGTATGGACCCTGCCGCTCGGCGACAAATTTGGGACATCCTGCAAAAGTTCCGTCAGGGCAGGACGATCGTACTGAGTACGCATTTCATGGACGAAGCTGACCTCCTGGGGGACAGAATTGCTATCATGGCGGAGGGCGTTGTAAAGTGTTGTGGCTCCTCGCTCTTCCTCAAGAAACTCTACGGTAGGACATGATTTACGCTACTGTTGAGGATTCGTTTACAGACTCAATGGCATTATGGTTCCATATAGAGTTTCTGTGATATGAATTCCCATATCAAACAAATTAAGTGATATATGTTTAGTAGGTAAAGCGTTTAGATACAAACCTCATATACATCAATGTCAATCAATGTGTAATTGAACTTGTCTTGCTCTGTATGGTCCATTGTTAGTGGGAAAAGACAACATTTCTGGTGGGTGTACAAACACACACTTATCATGGCTTGCTGACGCATGAGTAACGTCCGTTTTCTCCAAAAACAAATGTTATGTGGAATTTATGTACAAGGACTGTACATAAAACATGCCTAGAATTACTTAAAATAACATTAACCAAGAAACACTGGTCAACAAAACCTATTTTCATCATCCTTTCTCTAACGCAACCATCTGATCACCTTTTATTAGACGTTGAATGGAATGTCAATAAACAAGCTTTGGATCACACTGATTTTCTATATGAAGCTTCAACATAGTCCTACTTCTATTTGACACACATAAATCGAACCTAATAAGCTGAATAAAGATTCCTTTGAAACCCATCTTGAACACCTTTGCATTTTGTGAAATTGCGAAATTGTTCCGCTGTCTTTGTTCCGGTTACATCTATCAATCATTTCAAATCATCGCCGACTCTCAGAAAATTTAACACAGTCTGTTATCGTTTCTTAGTCCGTGACCCTGTGACTTCTTTCCTCCAGGCGCAGGATATCATCTTGTAGTGGTTAAGACTAAAGACTGTAACGTGGACGAATTGACCAAAATGATCCAAACGCTAATCCCAACAGCCGTTCTGGAGAGCCAGATCAGCGCCGAACTCTCCTACCTTCTCCCCTTCGATCAGTCAGCCAAGTTCGAGGAACTGTTTGAGCACATAGAAAAGAAGTCGGTTGAACTTGGCATATCCAGCTTTGGTACATCGGCGACGACGATGGAAGAAGTGTTTCTTAAGTAAATATGGTTCCATCTCAAAAGTGAAATCTTAAGAATCATAACCATACATTGTATGGTGATTACTGGATTTTTTTTATTCAGTTGAAAATGTTTTGTTTTTTTCAATGTCATGTAATGAAATTCCCCATGTGCATGTATGCGGATTGGTTGAATATGAAATATGACAAAGTTGTTTATTGTTTAACTTATCAATTGTCCGTTAAATGACTGTAGGGTAATTGTTAGTCTTACTCAAAATTCTGAATGAAACGCATACGTAGGAACAAGTTGATAGCATATATTGAAACCGGTATATAAACGAAATTACAATAAAATTTTGACGATTTGTACAGAGTTGGCGAAAGCAGCAAAGAGCAGGACGAGGACGATTCCACAGAGGCTTCCCCACTGAGCAATGGTATCTTTAACCCAAGCTATTTGCACAAGGGCGATGAAAATGGATATGGCAGCGCGAATCATGTAGGGCCAGAGGACGTGACCACCCTCAACCTTAAAAATGTACCCACAGACAACGGCCCAAGCGTCGACAGGTTTGTCGGTAAGTCACAGACCTATAGTAAGAGGATTCATGTTTTTATCATCAGTATAGTATCTAGGTTAATCATGGACATTCATTATTGCCAATATCGTAAGTGTGGCTGGTATTCGTTTCTAAACGTCTTCCCAAAGGTTTGTGAATTCTTTTTAACGGCCGGTCCCCTCTTTTAACGCTTGAACCAAGTTTGTTTTCGAGTTACCTGCATTCGCCATCGATATGTTTTGCACATAACGAAAATGTCTTTACTTTTATAAATCAAGATTTATTGATTTTATAACCTTTTCTAATATCTAATTAACAATTTGTATACATGTACATTTGACAACCAATCAGATTTGAAAACAAATGTTACGTGTATAAGTCACCGTTATATTAATACCACTGTTTACATCACCAATGATAATACAATAGCTGAACTCATACTTAAAAACGTATATTAAAACGTGAAAATATCTTTTTTTGCTGTCTTTTTGAAAAACTGAACAATTTTCACATGTACTAAAGATTTAAACAATGTGACATTCCTACGTCAACCACAGGATGTAGTATTATTATATGAAAAGTAGCATATTTCATTTCAAAATATTTCGGGAAATGGGCAATAGACAAAGCATTCACAAGCCCTCTTCCTGTGTGTACGTTTCAAATACATACATACATATATACATACATACATGTACAAACATGCACGCATATAAATAAATACATACATACATACATACATACATACATACATACATACATACATACATACATACATACATACATACATACATACACAAACATGCACGCACATACATACATACATGTACATACACATGCATACATATATATATACCATTCAAACTCTGTCCTTATATCTCAGAACACAAACACAGTAGCATAGTAGCATATAAATGCTATATGTGTATGTTAATTAGCCCACACTATCGCTCAAAACTCTGTATGTAAAACATTACTTTATTGTTGCATGTATTTATGGGTACATTTCAAGAATGTTTGAAATAACGACGGCGAGAATGCTAATAATGACAATGTACAATGACATGAAATAAGCATTCGGATACTGATTCCTTTTACATACATTCTGTTTTCTTACGTTTTTCTGTTAATTACTGTGATTTCATTTCTTAAACGATTCACATTTATTTATACAATATCAAGTCCATATATAACGTATATCTTGACATTACTGATATTGACATTAGTTTAAGAGTTCATGGGAAACCATTATTGCTCTTCAATTTAATTTCATGACGTCTTTTTAACGTTAAAATACAAAGACTGAAACGGAAACATTTCCTTTTAAAACGCAAATGTATTCCATGAGTACTCGATGACTCGGCAACGGGCGATATTGATTACTTATTTTATTAATGTACACTGAATTAATGTTTTGGGTTTTTGCTAATTAATCTAATTAATGTACTAGCACCTAACAGCTGCGAGCTAAGAAGCACACGCTGTAGTTTAAACGCTGTATGATTGTCAATGATACGAAACTTCAAATGAACCAGAATATGTCTCGGTCTAAACTTTCTGTCTTTGGTGTTGCAGAATTTAACTTGAACTTGATGAAGAATACTGGTGTGGAGTTGTCCTTACAACAGTTTTATGGTATGTTTGTGAAGAAGGCTATTCACTTCTGGAGGAATCGAATAGTGACGCTAGTCCAGCTGCTGATCCCCGTGGCGTTCACTATCTTGGCCCTAGTAGTTGCGGAGACCGTGCCTAAACCGGGAAACGAACCCTCTTTACTTCTTGACCTTGTGCCCTTTGGCTCTAATAGTGTCGTAGGATACCGTTCTAGTAATGTTTCCTCGAACATAGTCACAACTTACAAAGATACATTCAATGGATATCAAACTGAAGAGTTTTTACCGACCAGCAGTTTCATAGACGAGTTACTTGTGAAGGCAAAGGCAATAGGTACAGCTACATTCAACAAACGGTATATTATAGGTGCAGATTTCAATTACAATGCGTCAGAAACAACATTAAAGGTGACATCGTTTTTCAATGGAGAGACATTTCACGGTCCGGCAATAACTGTAGCCTACACGATGAATGCAATCCTACAGTTTTTTACTGACAGCCAACACTCCATTACGACCCACAACTCCCCGTTCAAGGAGACGCTGGAGGCAAACAGTCGCTCTGTGGCCGGGGCTACGCTTGGGACCGGTTTCACAATCGCATTCACCATTTTGTTTGGAATGGCGTTTCTGTCCACTAGTTTCATCATATTTCTGATAAAAGAACGAGCAAATGGCGCAAAACACCTCCAGAAGGTGAGTGGAGTCAGCAACCTTGCGTACTGGGCATCAAGTTTTTCTTGGGACATCATCAACTACCTTATTCCTGTCCTGCTCATCATGGCGGTGTTTGCTGCATTCCAGACCGAGGCTTATTCAGGCGGAGGTCGCCTTGGTTATGTGTTTCTTCTTTTCCTCCTCTACGGGATAGCGTGTCTTCCATTCGTGTACCTCCTTCACTACTTGTTCAATGTTCCTGCTACAGGGATGGTGGTAGTAACTATGCTTAACATCGTCACAGGTAGGTGTTAATGTCATAAAAGAATGGAGGTAGTCACCAAACTTATTATCGGTTACAATCTTTAATATTGCCACCAAAACTGACAAAGTGACAGGTGCGTGTCACGTTTCAGTGATAAGATAATGGATTCAATTAGGAGAACAAATATTTTAATTTTAAAAATGTATCATCTTTTTTTAGATGTATCAACCCCCTTATGTAATATTTATGTCCCTTGATATCCCTAGGCCTCGCTACTACCATGGCTGTGTTCGTTCTCCGGTTCCCGTTCTTGGGGACCCTTGACGTGTCAAACGGCCTAGACTGGGTGTTTAGCGTTATCATTCCCCACTACTGCCTCGGTCTCGGCCTCATGAACATCTACACAAACTACGAATACATCAACTCCTGTAACGCCATTAACTACAAGTTAACCTGTCTCATACCAATCATCAACAAGAACCCATGCTGTCAAGGTAGGTCACCAACAAGGGAATAGGGACGAACATTTTAAAGCGCACAAAGCAACGTCTGTTACCATGATTAAGACATGAAGTGCTATGTACTACCTTGATTGGCCTAGATAGCTTTTACTTGTTCTGCAATTAAAACAATCCGGTTCTGTAAAGATGTCCGCGTCTGTAAGCTAATTCGTGACAAAATATATTTTTCATTTCAGATACCTGTGCTGACAACTGTTTCTCGTTCACGGAGGAGTATCTGCGATGGGAGTCACCTGGTATTGGGAAGTACCTGATCTTCATGGTCATACAGGCGATTGTATACTTCCTCCTCATCTTTCTTGTAGAAAGTGGCATGTTTAACCAATTGTTCTACTTCCTGTCAGGCACGGCCGAAAATTCTGTGGGCAGCTCGATGGTGGCTATGGAAGAACAGGAATATGGAAAGGAAGAGGAGGACAGTGACGTCAGGAATGAGAGGAGGCGCGTCAACAATACGCCACTAGAGACCCTGATGCAGACCGACTCTCTTATCATTAAAAACCTGTCGCGGACTTACGGCAATCTAAAAGCGGTCCAAAATATATCCATTGGAGTAGCACCTCAGGAATGTTTTGGGCTTCTGGGACAAAATGGCGCTGGGAAAACGTCCACGTTTAAGATGCTCACAGGAGATCAAATCGTGAGCAGAGGAAACGCATACGTCAACACATACAGTATACAAGATCAGATACGCAGTGTGAGTTACACCTGCAGAATGGAATTAACCACATATCGATTCAGTTAAACAGTAACATCTGAAACGATACGATACACAGAACCAAAGAACCCCTTCACGTAGATGATTCCCTACTGATTTACAATTCACATTGGTTATTATGCAATGCATATCAGTCGTTTCATTACCATTAGTCGATGCTAAAGCAGTAAGCTCCAAATCATATGTATTTGACATGTTCCTCCGGTTATAATGGCAACATGGGAATTTCAGAAACTCGCGTGCAATTCACATTGTTCTAAACTTTTCTTTGAAGGTCCAGCAGAACCTCGGCTACTGTCCGCAGTTTGACTCCCTGATTGAACAAATGACCGGACGAGAGACGCTGACCATGTACGCCCGACTAAGGGGAGTTCAGGAACACCAGATTAAGCCTGTGGTCAATGAGTTACTGGACATTATGACACTGCGACAGTACGCGGACAAGAATTGTGCATATTACAGGTAAGTCAGTAAACTGACGCAGATTCTTGTGTTTTCTTAGAGAGGGTGATACGTTGGGAGATATGGCTATAAAGTATTATGACTAATGCAGCTAACATGAAAAATGTGTTACCTGAGTATAGTGAAATATTTTGTATGCAAATGGACCTCATACAAAGCCATGTTAAGAATACATATTTCAATCATCTGTCTTGACAAAACGGCATGTTTGTTGTCTTGCTCTAGTACATCATCCGAGATATGTGATAATTCACAATGTTCTTTTTGTATAGTGGTGGCAATAAGCGGAAGCTGAGTACAGCAATGGCGCTGATAGGAGACCCGCCCTTCGTTTTATTGGACGAGCCAACAACGGGAATGGACCCTGGTGCCAGGAGAACCCTGTGGAATGTGCTGTCCAAGATCAGAGCCAGTGGTCGCACTCTGGTTCTAACGTCTCACAGGTACGGCAGACCATGTTCACTAATGTAAGGTCACTAAAACGCTTGGAATGTAAACATTTAGTTTAAAGTTCTGCATTGTTTATTTTTTTGGTTGGCCAAATCAAATTTCACATGCGCAGTTCAGAATGTCTCCTGTCTGTATGATACAGTTTTAAAATGGTTCTAGGTACTGTATTTGAACATTTATATTCTTTTTATTGTAGTATGGAGGAATGTGACGCGCTGTGTACTAAGATTGTAATCATGGTCAACGGTAGGTTTGTCTGTTTGGGAAGTCCTCAGCATCTTAAAAACAAATTCGGTCATGGTTACACTCTTATAGTAAGGCTCGGATCTGACGACGACGGCAACACAGCAAGTGGTGATGCACTGAAAAACTATATCATCAAGACATTTCAAAATGCTGATATATTCGATGGTCACCAAGGTTACCTCCATTTCCAAATCCCAGATGCAGATGTTCCTTTAGCCCGTGTTTTTGGCGCAATGGAGCGCGCAAAAGCACAGTTCAACATTGAGGATTACTCTGTTCACCAAACAACTCTAGAACAGGTATTCCTAACTTTCACAAGACACCAGACAGCTCCCAAGGAAAAGAAAAAAAAGAAAACGTGTGGCTGCTGCTGATAACCTTGGTAATTCTCGTGCATTTTTCAGAAATTATCAGCCTTACACTTGTCGCTGGAAGGATGATTATTAGCTGTATAATGTCCGGAAGAGTTAGTATTAACCTTGTCCCTCGGAGGATCAATGCTTTCATTGTCTCTTGCACAATGAAGTGTTACTAGTATCGGAACGGACTAATTTTACCAAAGACCAATTGCCATTGTCACTGAAAAGACAATAGTGGTACGTATTGTTATACCAGGAAGGACCCGTGTTACTCTTCATTCCGGATGAAGTAATGTTTCTATTTCCTGGAAGGATAAGTATCTGTGAAAAGACCAAAGTAACCAGTTTATCAGTAACCTGCCATCACTTACGAACATCACAAATGACAAACACCAATAGCAAACCCAACTTACCTTAAATATTGTTATCCATTTAATATTTCACATTTGTTTTTTAACAAATTAGCAATGTTCATAGGCTAAGTGATCCTGTGATAATTGTGGCTGCTTAAATGTCTTTTGAATACAAAACGTCTAACGACTGCCTCCTCTTAAATAGACGATCGTGGTCCAGACAGTGCCCATGCCAAGGCGGTATGTTGGGGCTTAAAACTTGATAAAACTCGGCTCTTTCCTCGTGCCATTGCAAGGAGAATCGTGCCAACGAAATACAATTGTGGTGTTGTGATATTGTTTATGATCAAATCCGTAAAATATTTGTGTTGTGAGTTGTGCACTATATGTATGTAGGTCTACCCCTCCATTCCCACCCACCAACCACACCCTACCCGGTGATCCTTGGACTGCGAGTGCTAGATAATGTCTGTTCCCGTTGATTTTTGTACTAACACCTTAGCGTTTGAATTTGTCTTGACGTCCTGTGTTTTCTCCGTTTAGACACACTATTACATATGGTTATTGCTATATCACCAGAATAACAGTCTAGAGTAAAATCTATTCCTACGAGTTTGTGTAGTATTTCTTATATCACACCTCAAACCAAACGCATGCGTGATGTCCAAGACAGATCCAACATCCTATCGGGTTAAAGGTCAACATATTATATACGGGGTGATTGTTGATGTAAACTAACAGAATGAGTGATGCTTAATAATCAATCATTGAACTGATGTGTGAACTAATCTTCTCATGAAATGCATTCACTTTTTTCCACTATCACATTTAAATGAAGAGCAAATATCTACAGTACCACGGAAACTCAACACCAGGCGAATGTGATTTAAACACAAACGGTGATGCATCAGTATATGTTTTCTGGTCAAATGTGGTATAACTCCTCTCCTTGAGCACATATCCTAGAATCGAATAATAAATTCAGAAGAATAGTTACGTTAACACTGTGTTTTCATTATGCGTAGTTATCAACAAATTAACATAGAGAGACACAAGCCGAGTCAGGAGTTAAATTCCTCTCCTCACTGTCTTATTTTCCACTCCAATATTTAGAGAGAGCACAACATGGGTTATCCAAACATCTTACTGTTTTCATTTTTCTTACGTCGCATTTGAACAAATTAAGGAACAAATACATGCATAAGGATGTTGTTTTTCATAACTAGTAAGTAAGCTCATGCACGTTTACTTAGTCCTCATGTACACTGCTTTCCGATTACTATATCTGGACCATCATGTAACAGTTAAATCAGGCCTTGCCATAGAATAGGTTATACTATGAATATCGTTCATCAGATGATTTTATAACTGTTATTTATTTTGTTTTATTGACTTGAAATATACTGTTAATATTAGTCTTCTATAATTATATGCGTAGCATGATTGGTATTGTATTGTATAAGTTTCCTCAAATTGATTTCATGGGATCGGACTATTCTATTATTATTAATTATTTGTTGCTATGTGCAGGTATGATCGATACTGTATATCTGTGATACATTGTGAAATATGTTTCGACAATCAAAAGCTATTGCTTTGTTTCGGAAATAAACCAACAAAAAAAATGATTTGTGTGACTTTTTCCATGAAAAGATTATTTATCTTTATCCTCTCCTTCGTTCCTCTTACGTACATGAATATTTTCATTTCTAAACATTTTAATTTAAATAAGAACACAAGACTGCACTTTGGGTACAATCAACAACAAAAAAACAGTATTAGTAAAAACATCCTTTAAATAACTACTAAAAAATCCCTTTACACTAAAGAAACTCGCTATTTAAAAAACAAAACAAAAATGCGAACTTCAGTAACTGATATCTGACTGCATTAATTTCTTCAGATAATTTAAAAAATACGGAGCAAAATGTAATGCGTGCCTGTTGTGTAACAATGTCATCGATGACGTATACAGGTAACACCTCTATACAGGTACGAACCTACAATTCCCTCACTCTCCACGTACAAACACATACTTAATAAATACATTTACCCAACTCCACTTAATTAAAATATATAAAGAAACGAAATGTATTGGTGGAAAGTTATTTCGTTAGCAATCGCCAGTGTGCAACGTTATAAACGACAGAGCCACATAATTTCGCGGTTTTCGTGTCGATATCACGTCGCTTATGTCATCTTCTGTCCACTTTCGGGTAAGATGGAGGGCAGTTACCAGATGATATTTGTGGGGAGTTACAGAACCGATTGTATTGATGCTGTTAAACTTTCACTATGATATCGATCAAAAGGGAAGGTAGAAGTTTCTATTCGTATTAATCACTTTATCATACTATATAGCTAAAATATACCTGTATACGAGGTTTAGTTTCTGCTGTGGAGATTTAATATTCGACAATATGCTCTCTCTAGACAGTTCCCTGTACCATGACCAGAACTCATAGAATATGTCATATGGCATCTTTCGCTCTCTGCATAGCAAAATTGAAGGCTCAGTGTGCGCCGTATTGTGGATGAGACAAGAAGACTCATTTGATCTTTTGATGAACATCAAAGGAATCTTGTGGTAGCATAACGGTAAAATCAAATGGCTTTGAAGTATGGAGTCTCTCCTCTGTAATCTTCAAAGGACAGGTATCAGCGTAGCGGTTGGTCAAGTTTTTTCACCTGAGACCAATCCAATAGCTATATAGCTGCGTGCTTTCAATTTTTGCTATGACATATCCCAGGAGTGCAGAGAGAGAAAGTGAGCGAAGCCCCTGGAGTATCGAGGATGGTGATATGGATGTGATGATTGAGGTCAAACAATGACATATTTCCAGTCTGCATGACTATGCCATCCCGAAAAGTATTAATAGGCCAAACCTGGTAATTTTAAGAAAATACAGAAATACTCAGACAAAGAACGGACCTGAATGAAAGACTTGATGCAATCCAAGATCCGCCTCCGATAGTACTATGTGGGCTGCTGAACGCAGATGTCCATCCCCGGGACTGGTTATTTCTAGTGAATACAATGGAATTAACATCAATATAAAACTAGTCAACTAATAATGTGGTTTCATCAAGCATTGTTAAAATCGTCTAGTTAAATAATTTGGGTTTGTTTTGCAAATGGCATCCTCGAGTTTGGCGGACTGACAAATTACCAAAAAAATATATTCTGTAGACACGCATATTTACATATATTTACTAATATAACCATTCGATCTTATCTTTCTTCCAATGACGTAGGCTCGTGATATACACACAGTAAGTCGACAGTAATACGTGCCTGTTCTAGATACTGACCTACGATGAATAATAATGTACCGGTCATGTGACGATACCTTTGTGATCGGTTTTATTGTTAATGCACGAAGCACAATGCGTCGTACGAAAGAACTGGTATTTCGACTTCAGCGGAATATATCGATTGTCATTTAAATCTATCGTCAGTACTACTTTTTAACCCGTGAATCTTAATTGACACCAGAACACAGCACGAATCTCAATTTATCAATGTACCGATATAGCTCTTTCCTAAACAGATCGGTGTAATTACACCGACTTATAAATGGTTAATTGAGGATAAGACATTTGTTTATTTTTTGACGCTGAAAATATCTTCAAAGGAATTAGATACATTTTTAATTAAAAATAAGAAAAATATCTTTCAACGTTGAGTAGATCTTTTAAACAAGTAGAAATATCCCTAAAAGAAAAAGGTATATATTTAATCCAAATAGAGGTAGCGTTAAACGAATTAATTTATCTTTAAGTGAACTAATTGTATCTTTAAATGTTTAAGTGATACATTTAAGTGAATCAAGGCTGTTTCTGTTTACAAATAAGTTCCTTTCAATCTTTTAGTGATTTATTTAAGCGAATTAGATATATCTGTTAATTAACATTTACAGATTAATTTTCTAAGAGAATTAAAGATATCTGTTAATTAACATTTACAGATTAATTTTCGAAGAGAATTAAAGATATCTGTTAACTAACATTTACAGATTAATTTTCTAAGAGAATTAAAGATATCTGTAAATTAATTTAAGATATCTTTAGTAGAGATATTTCATAGTTCTATGATAATTTGAAATACCTGGATTGTCTATACATCATATAACAGAGATATCACAATGAGAGATGATACAGTATATCTAACAATGTACACAAGATAGCTCTTCGTGTAGTAAGTGTTAAGCTTGTTTTCCATATTTCTTAACACTGCTACTCATATTTTCTCCAGTTCTGACCTCAATAATGTTTTCGGTAACGAGTTCTTTTTATTTAGTCGTTGGGGGTTGATTAGATGTTTACATGAACATATAATGCTATAGATAATCAGTAGAAGGTATTATAAAATGCTGATTATTCGAAAAAATGAACATTTTTTGAGAAGATGAGAGAAATGCCATATTTTAAAATTTCCATGGGGGAGATAACGTGTGCTCAAATTAAAGGCATTAATACAATTTGTGCGTTTACCGCAAGGGACAAAATAACGCTTAAAATAGCATCGTTTAAACTATTCCTTCAGATGAAATCATCAGATCTTAGAAAATAGGGATAGTTTAACAGATTCACTGGTTGAAAATGCTCATTTTTAGGGTTCAAAATCGGGAGTCTCCCTCCAAAATAGAAAGAGTTTGCAGCAATGTAAATAATGAGGGACGTTGAGAGAGACGTTAAGAGAGACGTCAGAAGCTATGACAGTAGAAGGCTTGGTAACTTCTGAGTAATACTAATATATTTTATGATAAGTCGTTATTTAACATAGATAAGGAGACGTTCATACCTTCACAATACATAAGTCACAGGTTTTAGGTAATAAAAAGCCATGTACCCATTCTCTCAGCCTTGGTTAAACTGAGTGAGTAAGTTATTTATTTTTTCCTTTTGCAAAAGCTGTTCCATTAAATATGCACGTGTCTGTTGGAACAGTGCTTGAGCTGATTCTGTAGATCTTGTTTTGATAAATATGCATTGTTTAATATATAACAAGTATATCTTCTTTATCTCTTTTCATTATTCATGTTGTATAATCCAAAAAAAAGAGAAGAAGAAAATGATACTAATAGCTAATACAGTAATATAGGAAGTCCAAGTTTTACAAACACAGTTTTGCCGACATTCCAATAAACAGTGTATTATTGTTTTATGTATTCATATGGTTGTTGTGGACACAATGTCCATGTGCTGATTTCGAAATACGTACGATCATCTGACTCTGAGTAATGTTAACATTTATATAACTGGCACTACCTATTTGCAGTACACTCGGACTAAGTACAATGTATACACAGTTTTTTTCTACCGAGGAATGGTTAGGCCCCGTACCCGTATGCAGTGAGGACTAATAACAAGGACAGAAATAGATTTTTAAACCTTCCTTGTTCATTAAACACACACACGTATATCGACTGTGATCTTAGGCTGGTTGGTTACGCTCGGGTACGCATTATAGATTATTGCTCGTCCTATATACTGACCCCTCGGTCTATGTTATATGTACGTAGTCGTTACTCGTCAGGTAGTAGGTACTAGCTGTATCGCCTAGACAGTCAGTTGTATTCTGTTCGCCAGCAGTAGGATCGATACATACCTGGTTACCTCTGTTCCCACATACACATGTACGGATCTGATCTGGTCTAGTACAATCGTTCAAGGAATCCAGTAACACACCATACTGTTACCTGTCATCCGGCTAGATATTCTGTGACCATGGACACCGTGTAACACAATTTTAAAGTGACGGTTGTACTTCCGGTAAAGTAAGATATGGGGATGCTACTACAGTTCGGTTTGCTACTATGGAAGAACTTCACAGTTTCCCGAAGGAGAACGTGTGCCACGGTATTCGAGATAGCCCTACCATTGGCGTTCGCCTTCCTAATGCTTGTCATCCGCTTCCTTTCTGGCACCACGGACCACTCCACGGCGTTCACGTGGGATCCATTTACAGTGAGCGATGTGGGTCTTGCCGTACCCTCCACGACGCGAACCAAAATCTACTACTCCCCTACCTCCACAGCTGTTGACGATGTTATGTCGAAGGTGACCACGGCGTTGAACGGCAATGCTACAGGTATATTTTAATTTAAATATTATCACTGCTGAACATTGAATGATTGCAGCCAAAAGCATCTATATACAGAGATAGAAAGAAAATTCAAGACATAACTGAAAGAAGCAGATTTGTTACTTTATATTTACGTATGATAAATACTCAAAAACACAGCACTGAATTTCAATTTTATTGCGCAGGGTTTTACTTCAATATTGTTTTCTTCATGTATCTAAATTTATCACTGAATCGAACACCGTCTTTTTATCAACTCTATTCGCTTCGTAATAATTGTGTTTTACTTAATACGAGGATCACGTACGTTGTCAATTGCTAATTTGCGTTCCTATGAATCTCGATGTGTTTTCTCTTTGGCATGTTCCTAGCCACGTATATGTATATTTTACTTTCACTTTGACGGTTTTTTGGTTTCCTAGAAAGAATAAAGTTTCTTGTATCTAACAACATTCATAATGAGTACGTCAGCGACAGATCTAGGATATATGTTATGTTGTGAATGTCAGATTGTACCTAAACCAGAAAACGCCCCTCACCTAATAGTTCTGTACTTTTGTAATACAATGCGTTAATCTACTCAATTATAATAATCAAGTGAATCCCCCCCTTTTTTTACAAAATATATATATCTATATTTTAACAAAAATGCAAAAGAAAAATAGTCTTATTTTTTTACCATCCCCTCTGAGATCAACAAAAATATTGGAATGAACATTATATACCTAACAAATTTGACGTGGAATCTAACTCTGTGTTACATTGAGTAACATTAATTAAAAGTATAACAAGTTTTGGAATATCTTTTCGTCAAAAAGTTAAACCACCTCACTGCCTTGAATAAATTTATAACTTTTGTATAAATGATGGCGCTTATCGCCTTTTTTAAAGAAAGAAAATACCTTAGGTATTAGCAGTATTTGTTATTGACTAATTGATGGGAACTAGGTGTCTGTATTTAGTTTGCATACCTGAATGTTGTTGATTTTACGCAGAAAATATTATCAACCATCAAAGTTTGTCAGCAGCGGTAACTTGAACCTTTAAAGTCTATCAGCATTGGTAACTTTGAACCTATAAAATTTGTCAGCAGTGGTAACTTGAACTTTCAAAATTTGCCAGCAGTGGTAACTTAATCCAATACAATTTGCCAGCAGTGGTGACTTAACCCAATACAATTTGTCAGCAGTGGTGACTTAACCCAATACAATTTGTCAGCAGTGGTGACTTGACCCAATACAATTTGCCAGCACTGGTGACTTAACCCAATACAATTTGCCAGCAGTGGTGACTTGACCCAATACAATTTGTCAGCAGTGGTGACTTGACCTAGTACAATTTGCCAGCAGTGGTGACTTGACCCAATACAATTTGTCAGCAGTGGTGACTTGACCCAATACAATTTGCCAGCAGTAGTAACTTGACCCAATACAATTTGCCAGCAGTGGTGACTTAACCCAATATAATTTGCCAGCAGTGGTAACTTGACCCAATACAAGTTGCCAGCAGTGGTGACTTAACCCAATACAATTTGCCAGCAGTGGTAACTTGACCCAATACAAGTTGCCAGCAGTGGTGACTTAACCCAATCCAATTTGCCAGCAGTGGTGACTTGACCCAATACAATTTGCCAGCAGTGGTGACTTAACCCAAAACAATTTGCCAGCAGTGGTGACTTAACCCAATACAATTTGCCAGTAGTGGTGACTTAACCCAATACAATTTGTCAGCAGTGGTAACTTGACCCAATACAATTTGCCAGCAGTGGTGACTTGACCCAATACAAGTTGCCAGCTGTGGTGACTTGACCCAATACAATTTGCCAGCAGTGGTGACCTAACCTAATACAATTTGCCAGCAGTGGTGACTTAACCCAATACAATTTGCCAGCAGTGGTGACTTAACCCAATACAATTTGCCAGCAGTGGTGACTTGACCCAATACAATTTGCCAGCAGTGGTGACTTAAACCTTTAAAATTTGTTAAAAAAATGTTTGTTTGTTTTTAAGATTGATGGAAAGACTCGTATAATCCCGTTTGAAAAGCATTCAAGATTATCAATTGATGTTTTCAGGAAATTATATCAATTTGAGTGATTACAACGGAACCAAAAGCGAGTGGTCTTTAAAGACCAAAGGGGTCTATGAGCCCGTTGACCCCTCCTAACCCAGATATAACGAATTTGTCACCCTGACACTCTTTTATTACATTTTTTCCTGCAATATTGTAAGTCACTTTGTGAGTTTGAGTTGTACGTGACTGCTACTAAAATAGCCCCTAACGAGTTAGGTCTACCGGACATCTTTTAAATAGTTTTTGGCAATTTTTCGGACAAACCACAACTATCTTTGCAATTAGCATCCTACAGGCCCTCTCAGTGCCTGTTTCGGTGAATTTGCTGTCGTTTTAGATTGCGTGAAGGCTATTTTATCCTGTAAATGTGTCGGACGCCATCTTTGTTGCTATGAAGAGAGATTCTAGTTTGAGTTATCTCCCCTCGCACGTGCTTTTATAGACGGCAGAGCGGGGTCTATAGAAATATAGACCCCGGCAAAATATCCAATCAGAAAGAGTGTTTCAAATTAGAAGGGTGACAATAAGTTATATCCTATTTATATATATTTATATGTACCTAGGAAACCTATACAAGCCCGTTGAAGGAACTGAGCGTTAACCCGTGTTGTGTATTAGATAAACCCCCGAAATGTGTGATTTATATAATGATTTGTGTTGGATTACGTTTATTTCCATAGTGACCTCCTACGCCTCGTCAACTCTGTTACGTAACGCATATGACCTGAATTCTGCGTCGGTGTGGGCGGCCGTCGAGTTTGACGAGTCGGCCGACTACACGTCTACCCTTCCTAGTCACGTGAAGTACTCACTGAGGGTAGCGCTGTATGAGAAGGCAAACGAAAAGAAATGGTACACGGACCGGTCTTATCAGTTCTTCCAGGCCCCGGGTTACAGAAACAACGAATCTAAAGCAGGCGAACCATGTGAGTACAAGTATAGTATTTCCAGATTTAGGTTTAAGATTTGAGGGTTTTGACAATTCGTCAAGGAACAATGAATATCTACGATAAGTCAAAGCAGGTTGCCTGCTTTATTATGAATGTTCCTATCAACTATTCGTCGTCACGTTGTATTGTAACGTCATGTTTATCCATCAGGTATCTGTTTTCACGTGGTAAGCTACCATGACGTATCCATCAGGTATCTAATGTCACGTGTTAGTGTTTCATCTTCGCTAGCCAAGTGTTCGCTTCGTATACGAACACTTGGCTAGCGATGATAGTTATGTTTCAGTTATATGTCCATCAAGTATATGTTGTTATGTCGTAAGCTACCATGACGTATATATCAAGTATCTGATGTCACGTGGTAAACTACCAAGAGTTATCCATCAGAATAAACTCTTCGTAGTGTGAGCCGTTTTGACTTTCTTTGAAAGATGAACTGTTATTAATTTTGAAACGACAAAAAGGGTGCCAGATAGTTATATTTGAAATTATAAATATTTGTCGGTCTCTTCTTAACATGTGTCATTGTATGTAACCTAGATGCTTACAAAGATATTTCATAATAATGTGACGGTCAAGTGGTCAAGACTCTGTGTCCAAACTCAACTTGAGAACAACCTAAGGTAGCGTGGTTACCATCACAATATAATGGGTGGGTAGTAGACTCTTGCCTACTACCCAGATACTGACGACTCAGTTGCACCAATTAAACAGCTTGGTTTAATTCTATCAACTTTACTAAGAGACGACTATAATACAGAATCACAGGTACAAAATTGGCCATTTATTAAATATTCAACAATTCATAGAGTACAACAGTTTTCTCACTCACATACAGATTTGGATTATACAACATTTGTAAAACAACTTCCTTAAATACTCCTATTCCATCAGTACTTTCTCACAATAATAAATAGTGCAATATTCTCACCATACAAGCTAACCCAGTTCTCACGTTTAATCAATCTCACAGATAGTTATAACAATCCACTAAATTCTGTCAAGATTATAAAATGGAACAAACCAATCATATATCCGAGTTGAACTATTGAGTCAATAACTAACACTGTTGTGATAAACAATAACAAGATCAGGAGGTATTTGATCTAAGATTAAACAATTGCTCCATAAAGGCTAGCTAGATCTACAGTAATCCTGATAACAATTAAAACCTAGTGTTAATACACTCACCTAACTGTCCTAAGTACTATAACAACGTGATATAAATAGAATAGTTCACACAAGCTCTCAACTCATACAAGTATCTCAATGACGGAATCTATTTAGATAACTAATCAGTCTAATGCTTCATAAAAATCCTTTCATAGCTCATTTTCCGGTCAAACACACGAACGTGAACTCTCATCTACAGCAGAATAGATTACAATAAAATTCTATTATCGGCTGTGGAAATACTGATAAATATTACTATATTCTAAATTCACATTGCTGATTATCGTTATCCATTATACATGTAGCTAGTAATAACATAAGCCTGGTTCCCATTCCATTAGTACTACTGTAACTATTCCGGTACACTAATTGTCTATAAACAGATGTTCCTATAGGGAACGCAATGATATTAATGAACTTGTAAGTCACTCTTTTCCAAGCTTTCGGCCTTAGCCCTTCGTCAGGGATCAAATGTCACTGGACCTCTATGTCACATCCATCTTGACAAACATGTTGAATAACTATGACGTTGATGCTGATGACGTCATAACACTGTTACCATGTACGTCCGACTGTGATGTGTGTGATAGACTCATACACAAGTTCATTAATATTCCGTTACAAGTTACAACCCCCGTCCGTCCCAAATAACCAGAAATACGCTAAAATTCCCATAATAAACCCACAATAAACACGTAACCACACAAAGACTACACCTAACCTAACACTTAAAGACAACACAAGCTCCGGAACTGAGGAAACACCTCTTTGTCCATCGCTAACACACATCTCGACAAAACACAGCAACACACACGGCAGACAAATGGAATTGGTTGGAAATGGCTGGTATTCGCTGGAATACCATCTAACCAGCATTAAAGTTGTTTAAACGTTGTAGAACCGTAATGAATCTCAACAAAACATAAACATAACTCTGAGAACTCACATACCTTTACTGAAATGATCATGAATTACTATGTATCCACACCGGAAGTGATCCAATAGAAAATACGAAACTATACTCCGCCTAGCTCTGCAGCTGTCATAACAAACACAATGGCCACCATCGGTAACATGTGCTTCAGCCCACCGATTACATGACGGTGTTTACAACGGTAATCACCGAGTAAGAAAAGCGTAAATAAATCTAAGTAACGGCTCTCGTTATATTTGGAGGAATCAATTACTTAATAATTTGTAGATTTACGACTAAAATCTGATATAATGCCTTTTTGTCACAATAACTTCTCGTAACAGTATTCCGATATCACAGAGCGCCATGATTCGGCCCTGCAGGAATGCCCGGCCATGTGGGATTTTTAGCAGCCACTTACTAAAATAAGAAACCTCAACGTGCTACCATCCATGACAAAAAGAGTGATTTATATGTATGAATTGATAAAACGTGTTATATAATTATTGTATACTAGGTGTTTTTAATTTAGAAAATATTTAAACTCAAGTTCAAGAATGATGGAAAGACTCGTATAATCCCGCGTGAAAGCATTCAAAATTATCAATTGATGTTTTTCAGGAAATTTAATCAATTTGAGTGATTACAACGGAACTGTAATTACAGTGCTGTAATAATAGCCAACCCTGTCGTAAACTCATTTCAATTTATAAATGATTCATCATAGAATGCAACGGATGGAAATTGTTTTATCAACATGTAAAACAGAGAACGAAAAGGTGCCGGAACACGTACGTCATCTATCAGAGAAACACTGACAGTTACGGTCGATGTACAGTTCAATGTCAATATTTGATGACAAATATCAATACGTCGTGTCAACGATAGACAATATTCAGTGTCTGTACAGACGAGGGCACATGTACGGTTAGATTTGAATTCCTATGGATGGCCAACGTGTTACCTGGATATTAAAATGTGATTGATAAGGCGAAGGGTTATGTACACGTTTGTATATTAAAATGTAATGGTAGTGCATCATGGTTACTACAGGCAACAATGCTTACATGGCGTATCATGACAGATCCGTCTCCCGAGGAATTGATTTTATTCTTATCGATTTACAATATTTCATCTATGCTCAGATATTTAATATATGTTTAAGTGAATAAAACTTTTTCATAAAAGCTTGTTTTAAAGAAATGAAATACGCGGAAAGTGTGTTGCTAGACAAACGATAATTTACGACATCAGTAAAACCCAGGGAATGCCCATTAAATTCTGAAGAAGTGTGTTAGGGGATTAAGAAAATATTTAAAGACTTGTGAAATTTTAAGTTATCATGATGTTGTGATGAACGAGTTTAAAGTTTAAAAACTTTAATGTCATATTTTGCAAGCAGCAAATGCTGATGCAGTTTTAATCAAGGAGACAATCTTTATTTTCATCTAGATAATGTTTTTTTTCGAATCGCGGTCCCTTCAGTCCCAGTACAGGGACGATATGTTTGATGTTGACGATAAGAGGAGGGTCTACAAGCACCTTAAGGTCTCGACGGAGTATAAGTACTGTTCAGTTTCTGTATTTCCGAGAGCCATCCGACTCATAGGTTAAATGTCAAACAACTACATCATGTAGAACATGTAAAAGATATTATTATACAAATATAAATTGATTAAGTGGAGATTGAGCTTACAAAGTACATAAAAACCTATCTCAGTATTATTTGTTCGCTTTTGATACTTGATCCTTGAATCCCTGAATGCCGGGCTGAAATTGCACGAGGTTGATTAGGCGAAACAAATCGAGATTTCTGTTTTAACATCTTCTTATTAAAATGAAAAAGATATTGGAGGTCTGTTACACTTAGTGAGTTGGTCGAGAGTTGAATCAAATCAGAACACATCCTGATGCATGACGTCTGCCAGTTAATACTAGTTTTTAACTCCACTGATAATTTTGAATAGTGTTGTAATACGGAATTCGAAGAGGAAAGATACGGCCGTAAATCTCTTTGAATATATAACTGTTGATTATAGACCCAACAATAGCCAGTGTAATATGTCTGTTGCTAATTAATGCTGGTAGCATTACCGGATAACTCATGGATTGTATTTCGTTGACGTAAATCGCCAGTGTTATTAATGAAGAAATAATTACAAATACACTTAAACAGTAACGCGTAATCTTGACATCTAATACGACAAGACTGCATTTCATCTCTCGTCTATGATAATGCGACTAGGTGTGACGTCATACTCTTGTGACCATGGTGATAGTACCAATGTTCTTCACCTCCGTCGTTTTATATATTATATGTGCGGTCGAATAATAAACGATGTCAGATCGATATGTTAATCTTATCATAACTGTGACGTCATTTTGTAAAGAGTACTATCACAGACTAAGTTAACTACTAAGAGATCTATTTGAGTCAGTGTACAATTCTTGCGAGGTGAAACGCAGATTCTATAACATTGCGATAGGTGTAACCCCTCTTTTTAGATTCCTGAGAGGTCTAACACAGGCTATGTAAATTCCTGAGAGGTCTAACAGAGGCTATGTAAATTCCTGAGAGGTCTAACAGAAGTTATGTAAATTCCGGAGAGGTCTAACAGAGGCTATGAAAATTCCTAAGAGGTCTAACAGAGGCTATGTAAATTCCTGAGAGGTCTAACAGAGGTTATGTAAATTCCTGAGAGGTCTACCAGAGGCTATGTAAATTACCGAGAGGTCTGACAGAGGCTATGTAAATTCCTGAGAGGTCTAACAGAGGCTATTTAAATTACCGAGAGGTCTAACAGAGGCTATGTAAATTCCTGAGAGGTCTAACAGAGGCTATGTAAATTCCTGAGAGGTCTAACAGAGGCTATGTAAATTCCTGAGAGGTCTAACAGAGGCTATGTAAATTCCTGAGAGGTCTAACAGAGGCTATGTAAATTCCTGAGAGGTCTAACAGAGGCTATGTAAATTCCTGAGAGGTCTAACAGAGGCTATGTAAATTCCTGAGAGGTCTAACAGAGGCTATGTAAATTCCTGAGAGGTCTAACAGAGGCTATGTAAATTCCTGAGAGGTCTAACAGAGGCTATGTAAATTCCTGAGAGGTCTAACAGAGGCTATGTAAATTCCTGAGAGGTCTAACAGAGGCTATGTAAATTCCTGAGAGGTCTAACAGAGGCTATGTAAATTCCTGAGAGGTCTAACAGAGGCTATGTAAATTCCTGAGAGGTCTAACAGAGGCTATGTAAATTACCGAGAGGTCTAACAGAGGCTATGTAAATTCCTGAGAGGTCTAATAGAAGCTATGTAAATTCCTGAGAGGTCTAACAGAGGCTATGTAAATTCCTGAGAGGTCTAACAGAGGCTATGTAAATTCCTGAGAGGTCTAACAGAGGCTATTTAAATTACCGAGAGGTCTAACAGAGGCTATGTAAATTCATGAGAGGTCTAATAGAAGCTATGTAAATTCATGAGAGGTCTAACAGAGGCTATGTAAATTCCTGAGAGGTCAAACACAGTTTATGTTTATTACTGAGATGTCAAACACAGGCTATGTAAACATAAAGAAGTCAAACAAGGGCTATTTAAATCCCCGAGAAGTCTAACACAGGCTATGCAAATTCCTAAGGGGTCTAACTCGGGCTTTTTAAATCCCCGAGAGGTCTAACACAGGCTTTGTAAATACCCGAGAGGTTTAAGACAGGCTATGTAAATCACCGAGAACTCCCTAACACAGGCTTTGTAAAATCATTAGAGCCTAACACAGACTATGTAAAATCATTAGAGCCTATCACAGGCTTTGTAAATTAATGCTTTAAGATTAGAAACGTTACTTACATGTTTTGAAGTTGATCAACAATTTCATTTAGCATTACAATCACTGTTTCTTTCTCTGTTCATCTTTAACTGTTTACATGCAATCCATGTTTTGTTGTTTCGGAGCGCCAGTCATGTGTAACTGTTGGCTTTACTCAAATATCCATCTGTTGGATAAGTAGTGGTCTTATGGGTAACCGTTAGATAAATGAATAGGCATCATCTTATCCAATGCCAAACTGTTGAATAAAGCAAATGAAGGTACCCAATGTTTCGCTAGCTGACAAATAAAATTTGTATTTAATCTTTATATTTGCTTATATTGTACTATCTGTCAAGCTCACGGTCAGAATACCCACTCTGTAAATTTGTAAAGTGCTGATTTTATGTGTTGAAGAGCGATGTCGATATATTGGTGAATTTGATTGATTGAAATAAACATTTAGTATTAAGCATGGCGCCAAACACATACTAAGCTACCTCAGTCTAAACTCCGAATAGATCTTCTTTATTCCTTTCTACGTGAATTTTCTGTAGGCTTCCCTGAAATGGTATCCGTGGTTCTACCTATAATCAATGCCAACCTAACCACAGCATTACATTTCAAATGTTGCTTTAGAATTAGAATGACATATCCGCAGTCTAAACAACATTAGTTTGACGGTAAACGGTACCAAAAGGGTTCTGGCAAATTTTCAAAATATCAACAAAACCAACTCTTGAAACATACCACTTAATGTATTTGGGTTCTTACTTAATGGATCGCTATTGTAAGTGGGGATTGTTTTTCTTGTCCTCTCACATATTGCACTGTACTAAGTACGGTATTGGATACTGTTAATGTAGTAAACATGTTATTGTAGACTTACACGATTATTATGTTTTGATTATACAATGTACTACATTACAATTTTTTGGGTAAATATACCAATGCCTGGAAATGGAGTTTTATGATTTGGTATTGACAAAAAATACCCCTCTGTTTCAGAATCTTAAAATGAAATCTTCTAAACACCTGTTTCAGACTACGAAGAGACAGGGTTTCTGGCGCTGCAGTATGCCATTGACAAAGCCATAATAGACAAAAAGGCTCCTTCGAACACCCTGGGCACCACATACAACATACAGCTCAAGAAAATGGCCTACCCGACGTTCGTGGAGGACGGCCTGACAGCCACCCTGTCTTCAATTATGCCCCTGTTCCTCATGTTGTCCTTTATCGTTACTGTATTCACGGCCACTAAAAACATCGTCCAGGAAAAGGAGACCAAAATCAAGGTAAACAAAGCAACTGACTCGTTCACACTTTTTTTGGAAATTAGCCAGACAGCATATATTATGTCAAATCTTCATTTTCTACAGGCAAACTGGTAATATACCCTTTCATTGTATTCCGTCTTTGCGTATTGCAGAGTTATCTTCTCTTGGGAACAGGTATTGATTGTTACGTCATTGATTTGTGCGAGAAAATTACGTCGTTTTCTCAAAAATTGATGACGTTACTCTCACAAACAAGTGACGTAACAATCAATACCTGCTCCCAAGAGAAGATAACTCTGCAATACGCAAAGACGGAATTGTCAATCTTACACAAGCTTCGTAATAGCTGTCACACAATTCTTCTGGTTTTTTTATAGAGCCCTGTCATGTACAGCACTGTTATTAGATGCAATTACAATGCAATGGCCTCTATACAACCGTTTTTTTGTAAACAAGAGTATGCATGACGTTGATGCAATCAGAGATATATGGTTTTATCACATAAGGTACTGTGTTATCCAGTGAATATATTCATGTCATTATTTTTGGCGTATTAACCCATGTAATATGACCTTTCAGCCCTGTGATTGGTTGTAAGTTTCGATTGGTTTAATTGTGACTCCATGCATCGGACAAGTACATGACGTCACAGACTTACTCACTGGAGTCAAAATGGCGGCTTTTTACATTTCAAAGTTGCATGGAAATTGTCGTTTTACACGAATAAATGCCACAAATCTTGATTATGTTATAAAAAGGATCTTAATCTCGTTTTCAATTTATGTGTAATTTATGAAACTCGTAACGAATTTTTCAAAATTTATCTCTTTGTGTACATGTGTGAGTTCATTTACAACGTGTCTCCTTGTTGATTGTTTATAGGAGTCGATGAAGTTGGTGGGGTAGAGCCCGAATATGTACTTGATTTCAAAATATTGTGTTGGTTTGTTTACAGGAGTCGATGAAGCTGATGGGGATGAGCCCCACCATGTACTGGCTGTCTTGGTTCACCAAACTGTTTATCTACCTGTTTGTCATCTGCTTCCTGTTTGCACTGCTGTTCGGGGTCAAGGCCGGCGATAATGGCAGTGTTCTGCAGGCTTCCCAACCTTCCCTCATCTTTGTATTTCTTCTTCTCTTCGGCATCTCAATCATCGCCTTCTGCTTCATGATGGCGACTATATTCAAGAGAGGTAATATTCATTTGAGCGAACTCGCACTTTGCCATAAATCTAATCAGTGACTATATTGCCATACGTTTCATCCTGTTAAATGAACATACCAATGAAGATAGCATTCGAAGTTCTGCAAGTTGCCTTGACGCCTCTTTTGACTTCAGTATGCGTCATCGTGTAGGAGATCTTGGCAGAATATAGTGTACTGTATACTCCTTGCTTAATTGAATAATCATGAAAAATATCAGTATTCTGTGATACTTTTGAAATATACATAAGATTCAACAGGAAAACTATTAAATATCCGTAAGTGTTATTATATACGAATTATGAAGACAAATCTTCTGTCGCTATGAATGAAATGATTTTGCATTTAAACCGAGAAGAAATACATGTTCGGTGTGATGATTGTGTCTCCTAGCCACGTCGGCGGCGTTCGCGGCGGGGATCCTCTACTTCCTGTTCTACATGCCACAGTTCTTTCTGGGTCGGTCCTATGACACGCTCGGCAAGGGGGAAAAGGTGGCCATCTCCCTGCTCAACCTCATGGCCATGTCGTTTGGGGTCACCACCATCACCCTGTACGAAGGCACAGGTTAGTTTTATTTTACACATCGTAAGATTTGGCTGAAACAGTAGGTCAATAGGCGTACTATTTCATTTCTACATAACTTTAATGCGATCAAAACGTTTAAGTTGGTTTGGCATTTACAGTCCATGTGAATAACAGAACGTTGCAGGCAAAGCATATAATGTGCGCTAGCATTACCATTTTGGAGTATTTCAATATAATAGAAATTAAAGTCTGCTTTATATAATTTAGCATATGGTTCAAGTAAGTGTATGTATCGTGTATGTTTTTGCTATGAATAGAACAGCCATCTTCTATGGAGAGTGAGTGGTATCTAACATTACATTCATGTCGTTATAATAATGGTATTTTCAACACGTGCGCCATGGCATTTACAGTCTTTATGAATGCCATTATAACTTTGTTGGGCTATGTTATGTCAGTGCCATGGAATGGTAAATGTAATGGTGTAATTGCATGGTCATGTCTCTTCAGTTCGTGTTGCCGTCTTTTCGAGTCAACGTTTGATTCAGATTTAAACTTTTTGTTTTGGCGCTGAAGTAATGTTTCTTTGTCACCGTTATACTAAAGGTGCTGGTGCGCAATGGTCTAACTTCCACCAACCTGCCACTGTGGACGACAATTACTCACTAGGGGACGCCATTGGCATGCTCGTGCTGGACAGCCTAATCTACTTTCTAGTGGCCTGGTATTTGGAGAACGTCCGTCCTGGGGAATTCGGAATTCCCAAACCGCTTTACTTTCCGTTCACGGTACGGCAGTCATCTTTCGTCGATTTTCTTAGTTTCTATCGTGATAAAAATGGAAGTTTTTCATTTTCAAAAATACAACGATCGGTCATTAGTCAGTATGAGTCTGTTTGTGTATGCATTTGCATAATTTTCCAACTTTCGATGGGTCGAGTTTCAACTCATTTTCAGGAGTAAGTATATATCAGTAATGTAGACGTAAATAAGATAGAAAGAAGCATAAACGACTTAATACATTCGTTAGCCTCCTGCTTCTCAGCCCCCTAATTATCCCAAGGTTAGCGATAATGGAAATCGCCGCATTATATTTTGTATACATTTAACAATGTATAAAAAATGATGCCTTAAGAATAGTAGATTCTGTATATATTCTGACAGTTATGTATAAACATGTTTTGCTAATTACCATAATGTACCTTCTAACTTCTAACATCGGTCTAGTACCGATATATATATCTATGTTGCTAGACATTTCCCTAGATAAAAGTCCCAATTCAAAAGAACTCGTTTTGATGTGCACTAATTAATCGCCGTTACACAGAAAACCTACTGGTGCGGTGCCACGGCTGAGACGGAGATGCTACAGGTCTCTCTTGACAATAAAGACAAGGACAAATTTGAGCCCGACCCCGCGGACCTTCGTGCTGGTATCAACATCAGCCATCTGCGTAAGGTAGGTTCTGTAGTTTGTTATCGCTGTTGTAATGTTCTGACTAGTGCACTTAATTTAACTCCTTATGTGATGGTAAAACTTGGACTGGGATATAAACTGTAGGATAATATGCTTTGACATTTTCTATAATAAATATGAAAGGTATTTTGTTCGTAACTGTATAGGTATTCGGCAGCGGCAAGGAGAAGAAGGTAGCTGTAGCCGACACCTCCCTTAACATGTACGAGAATCAAATAACAGTGTTGCTGGGCCACAACGGGGCAGGAAAGACTACCACTATGTCTATGATTACAGGTACGTGAAACTCATGCGCACCCATATACCACCGTAGGTATGTTTATATGAACGTGTAACTCACGTGTGCCCATCTACAGCCATAAACATGTTAACATGTACGAGTAACCCACATATACCAGGTACCCATATACCACCATAACTATGTTTACATGTACGAGTTACGTACGCGCACCCATACACAACCATGTCTAACAAAACATATCAGTATTTACTTATGAAAGACTGCAATGTAATTATTCTGTATTTGCTGAAAAGGTAATATTTTCCCCTTTAGGTTTTATACCGCCTACTAGTGGGACGGCCATAATTAACGGTAGTGACATACGAAAGGACATAGATGGCGTTCGGAGTAGCCTCGGACTTTGCCCACAGCACAACATCCTATATGACAACATGACTGTAGAGGAGCACCTGTGGTTCTTTGCAAAGGTAAGATTAATATATTCTGTGGATGTAGCATCCCTGAGGTAAGACAATTATATTTCTGTTGTAAATGTTGCTGATGTGTGGAACATGTCAAGAAAGTGTATGTCGGCATGAATTGCTGCCTGAACACCAATGAACTAATTTGTCTTTGCATTCTAGTTGAAGGGATGTCCATCAGATCAGGTCAAAAAAGAAGTGGACGATATTATTGAGGTGATGGGAATAGAAGCAAAACGACATCGCCTGTCGTCAACACTTTCCGGGGGACAAAAGAGGAAACTTTCTGTTGGCATTGCCCTCATCGGTAATACAAAGGTACGTATTTTGAAACACAAACATATTGTATCTCTCTATTTGCAGATCAATTGTGGTTTCTACATAACAGAAACATTTGACAGCCCTGATCGAAATAGCACTGAATGGCCTCTTAAAGGTGAGCAGGTAGCAACCGATGAGGCAGGCAAGAAAAGTTCTAGGGTAATAATGCATTGTGTATTGCATTGATGGTACAAGATGGAACCTTATATTTAATTGCCTGACATGGTATGTATACCTACAGTACCCCCCCCCCCCCCCCCCCCCCCCCGGTATGTAATGATACTTTTAAGCCCAATATTAAACAGTGATATGTTATAACCTTTACCTCAATGAAATAGTCAACCAAGACGACTAAATTGTATCAATGGTAACAACAGGTGGTTATACTTGACGAACCTACCTCGGGAATGGATCCGGCCGCGCGCAGGGAGACATGGGAAATCCTCCGGAAGTACAAAGAAGGTCGAACCATCCTACTGTCAACCCACTTCATGGACGAAGCCGATCTCCTTGGCGACAGAATCGCTATTATGTCCGACGGGGTCATCAAGTGCTGCGGGACTTCATTGTTCCTTAAGAAGTCTTACGGTAAGCTTTATGATTCTCCTGTTATCGTTCATACCGAACAGGACTCATTGGTGTGGTCCATATGGCGTAATCCTATTGATAAGTGTTTTGATGCTTTAACAGGTTCGTTATGACAGGAAGATAGCTCATGAAACTCTTAAATAATGCATGACGCGATACATGACTGCCAGGTTTATTACACACTATAGTTCGTCGTTGCTGCAAAAGTGTACAATTAGAACAGAAAGTGGATAGCTATCAGTCCTACATTACAAATAGTATTTTAGAACTATTGCAAGGTGGCCAGCATTATACTATGTTAGTAGCAATATATTAATGTATTCAGACAATTATAATTGGAGAGACTCACTTTCATTTGAAAGCTAACGATATATTCCAGGCGCTGGCTATCACCTGGTCACCGTAAAGACAAAGGACTGTGATGTATCCAAGGTGACCAGCCTCATACAGAGTCACATTCCTAAGGCCTTCGTGGAAAGTGATATAAGTGCAGAGTTGTCGTTTCTGTTGCCATTCGACGAGTCTGCAAAATTCGTGAAACTGTTCGAAGAACTGGAGGTCAAAGCGTCGTCACTGGGACTCAGCAGTTTTGGTATATCCGCCACTACAATGGAGGAGGTGTTCCTGAAGTAAGTATACGTTATTATATAGGAGAAGGTGTTCCTGAAGTAAGTATACGTTACTACAAAAGAGGAGGTGTTCCTGAAGTAAGTATACGTTACTACAATGGAGGAGGTGTTCCTGAAGTAAGTATGCGCTACTTATATTGGAGAAGGTGTTCCTGAAGTAGGTATCCGTTATTATATAGGAGGTGTTCCTCAAGTAAGTATCCGTTATTATATAGGAGAAGGTGTTCCTGAAGTAAGTATCCGTTACTACATAAGAGGAGGTGTTCCTGAAGTAGGTATCCTTTATTATATAGGAGGAGGTGTTCCTCAAGTAAGTATCCGTTATTATATAGGAGGAGGTGTTCCTGAAGTAAGTATCCGTTACTACATAAGAGAAGGTGTTCCTGAAGTAAGTATGCGTTACTACATAAGAGGAGGTGTTCCTCAAGTAAGTATCCGTTATTATATAGGAGGAGGTGTTCCTGAAGTAAGTATCCGTTACTACATAAGAGAAGGTGTTCCTGAAGTAAGCACCCGTTACTTCATTAGCGAAGGTGTTCCTGAAGTAAGTATCCGTTATTACATAGGAAGAAGTGTTCTTGAAGTGAGTATACGTTACTACATAAGAGGAGGTGTTCCTCAAGTAAGTATCCGTTATTATATAGGAGGAGGTGTTCCTGAAGTAAGTATCCGTTACTACATAAGAGAAGGTGTTCCTGAAGTAAGCATCCGTTACTTCATAAGAGAAGGTGTTCCTGAAGTAAGTATCCGTTAATATAACTGAGAGTTGTTTCTCAAGTAGGTTTTAGCAAGTTAGCAAAGGAGAAACGTAGCAAGAGACTGAGCAACATGAATGGAACATATGACATGTATAACAATGCTGACACAATAATAACTGTTCTAAACTATAACAATGTAGCACATAGCACATAATAACTATACATCAAGCTGGTACAACTAACCGATCAATGTACTAAACTGTGTCAATGTACTAAACTGTGTCAATGTACTAAACTGTGCCAATGTACTAAACTGTGTCAATGTACTAAACTATGTCAATGTACTAAACTGTGCACCCTACTGGCTAAACTAGAATGTGTATTCGACAGGGTCGGAGAAGGGGCCAGTAATGAAGACGATGACGAGGAGGAAGCCCTGGATAAATCTGAATCTGCCAATGGTATCGGGCATAACGATCACAAGCCTGTCGTCATCAACAACGCATTTCTTCTTGACGAAAAGAGGAAAGATAGCCCGAACGGAACAATGGACGTAACCACACAACCAGGGACGTCTACAGGTACGGCGTGCTGTTACTCGTGTTATAACACATGTACATGTTATTGCTGCTGTAATACTAAAGATACATCTATTACTACTTTTGTTATGGTAATTAGCCATTTTTGGCCCTTACAAATATGTGTATTAATTTGTATCTATAACTATAAGCACTGGTGTCATGGTAATGAAGTTGTATCTAAAAATATGAGCGGTGTTGCTATAGTAATGAACCTGTATATATTTGATTGTTATAATGATGCACCTACATTTGTAATTTTGAGCACTTTTATAATACGCATAAACTGATATCTAAGTCTTATCAACGTTATAAACTATAGTAAAATATCTTTACCTACAGTTGAGAGCAATGTACAAGAGTAATGAACGTTTATTTATGGTTTTCGGCACTTAGTAATGCAAAAGTAATAAAACGTTGACTCTGTATTAAATAAATGGCATTTTATAGTTTTAACCTTTGGCCCTGCTCTCGTGAATAATATTATGGTTATGGCCCATGTGCATTTATAGTTGTTATTGATGTTGTCATAGTAATAAACATTGCCAATAGTGAACAATTTCATGTACAATTAATGTACATCTGTATTTACAAATTAAATATAATCTATATTTATGAACGTTGCTAGTATGGTAACGAACCCTGCACATAGAAGTTGTTTTTCCTTAAGTTGATTACTATAAGTTATGTACCTGTCATAACAGTTTAGTCACCGGCGTATGTTTAGGGAAAAATGAAAAATANCCACCCCACACACACCCCCCCACACACACACTTTTGCAACCCTGGAAGTCTCAATCGTGTCTTTCCTGTTCTACATATGTTCCTGAGCACCCATTATTTACATAAGGCGTTAGCAGTTAGCCCCTAAACATTGTAGCGGTCATGTGAGAATTGTCATGATATTGTAAAGATAGATGTTACCTCATTCTTAAAACGTCACTGATTTTTATGAAGTCTGTCTAACGATTATAGTGGAAATTTACTCTCTTCCGCTTCCTTATTTACTTGATACATGCAATTCTATTTAAATGGAATTCAAATTGCATTTCGTTTTTAACAAGTGGGTGCACAGTTGCCTACACCTTACACATAATTGAATGAAATGCTGTTGATGTTATTCCGTCAAAGGTAACCAGCTATCTAAACATGGGCTATATGAATTTTCTTCAGGTTCACCGGGTTCAATGAAGAACACTGGTATAAAATGGGCAACCCAGCAGTTTTACGGTATGTTTGTGAAGAAGGCTATTCACAGCTGGAGAAATAGAGTTGTGTCTATAGTTCAGCTGTCCCTGCCCGTCGTGTTTGCAATCTTGGCGTTGACGGTAGACCAGACTGCGCCCACTAACGACGATGAGCCGCCTTTGATCCTAAGTCTGACCCAGTTTGGAACAGGTGCAATACCAATCTACACAGACGGAACATCACCGACAACGGCCTCAACCAGAATCGCAAACCTCTACAGTAGCTATCTGTCCTCCTTCTCCAAAGAAGACATTGGTACCACGCCATTCGATACATTCACGGTAGAAAAGGCGAACAGTATCGGCGTGGATACTTTTAGTAACACGTACATCGTTGGTGGCGACTTTGACCAGTCCAACACGTTTACAGCCTACTTCAATGGCGAGCCCTATCATGCACCAGCTATAGCCTTGAGCATTATGACAAACACCATGCTCCAAGAATTCGCGACTACAAGTGACTATATAACTACAACCAACCATCCCTTATCACTGACACTAGCAGAAAAAAATGAGAGCGTTGTTGTTACTGCTCTAGCAACAGGCTTTGTTGTTGCATTTCTTGTGTTGTTTGGAATGGCATTCTTGTCTACCAGTTTCATCATTTTCCTTATAAAGGAGCGCTCAACGGGAGCAAAACATTTACAGAAGGTTAGTGGTGTAGGCTCCTTCACCTTCTGGTTGTCGAACTATTTATGGGATATAATTAACTACCTGGTTCCCGTGCTGCTGATACTAATAGTTTTTGCAGCTTTCCAGACTCCTGCCTACGTCAACGACAATCGTCTCGGCATAGTTTTCTTGCTGTTCTTAATATACGGACTGTGCTGTCTACCATTCGTGTATCTGCTGCATTACCCGTTTAATGTTCCCTCTACAGGCATGGCTGCTATCACCATCATGAACATTTTATCAGGTGCGTGTACTATCCGCATATCAGTTTTACGTTCCTCTAGCAGAATAAAAGTTGAAAATTATGCCTGTTACTGCATGATATACATATTTTGTTTTATGTTTTCAAATTTTAAGAAAAAATATAAGGGTAATAATTTTTGGTTTTGTGCTTAAAGGATATACCATGTCTTAACTTTATATGCTATATATTTACTCTCAGTATTATATCAGAAATAAATTGTATAAAATAAATTACCTTACATGTTGCAACAGTAAATACATCTCGGTTTACCACGTAATTGTAGGTTTGGCTACGTTGCTGACAGTATTTGTACTACAAATACCTGCGTTGGGTGCGGAGAGTGTAGCGGACGGGCTGGACTGGTTCTTTACCATCCTGATTCCGCACTACTGTCTAGGCCAGGGCCTCAACAATATCTACAACAACTACGCCAACCTACAGACGTGTCTGGATATCAACTACGAGGTTTTGTGTACCTTTAATAACACGCTGCCCTGCTGCTCAGGTAACTCCACCCAGTCCTTCAGATCATGATCTGTACTCTTTACAAGATACTCTAGCTAGTTTTATACCTAGTGATTTTTACGCTTCACAAGGCACGCCTTTACCAACATTCTTACACCTACACATAATCACTCTTTATCAGCGGAACCTTCATAACACAGTCGTATACTTACATGTTATTACATATAATACCTCTATCCCCTACTGAAGTCATTCATCTCTATATGTCGTTATATTCCATACCATCAACGTACTTTCACCTTTGCACTTCACAGAAAAATTCACACACACATATATACCTGACATTTCATACCTATGATTAAGTAAAACATTGTATGGTAGGTAACAATGCTTAGGATCAGCCAGACGCATCCATAGTTCATATTGTTATGTAACTATTCGCTTGAGAACGAGGTTGACTACGAGAGTTCAAACATTGTGTTCTTTTATTGTAAATATTTATCCTTTCGACAAGAAACATAGTCAGAGTAAGAAGTATGTAAACATCATAATGTGCTCTAGCGCTTGGTGTTATTGTCTTACATATGCCTTCGACCAGAACAGTTATTTGCCACATTTCTGTTTAACTTACGCTTAAGATAGTACTTGCATTAAAATGTGGTTTATTTTGCAGGATGCACGAGCACTTGTTACGAATTCACTACCGACTACTTTGCTTGGAAGTCTCCGGGCATCCTCCGTTACATCATCTTCATGCTGCTTCAGACTTGTCTTTTTATAACTATCGTGCTCATGATAGAATATGGCGTTATCAACCGACTGGCTTACTTTGTTTCAAATCGGTCAAATGTGGTCAATCCGAACGAGGAAGAGCTAATTGACGGCAGCGATCCGGAGGATAGTGATGTTATGGAGGAACGAAAGAGGATCCGCGACACACCCTTGGAAACACTCATGGAAACCGACGCCCTTATCATAGACAATATAGCGAAGACATACGGCAGCTTACGGGCTGTAAAGGGCATCAGTGTGGGTGTGGGAACCCAGGAGTGTTTCGGTTTGCTAGGACAAAATGGCGCAGGGAAGACCACCACTTTTAAGATGATGACTGGTGATGTGTTTGTAAGCAACGGTAACGCGTATCTCAACAAGTATGATGTTAAACAACATTTGAACCAGGTAAGTCTTTAATACAAAGTGTGCTATCCTAATCTTCAAGAAATAATGAAATGCTGTGCTGAGTGTCTTCGGGATAGTATTTCAGTAAGATAGCACTCTAAAGTCGGCATCAGATACGCGTTATTGTAAGGAGGCAATACATCAACATACCCTGCCTCCAACACAAATACACTATACACACAAGCACGCAGATTTTACAAATAAGGAGACACGTCTTTAAATAGCCTAAGGACGTAACAAAATAAAATAAACCAACCATGAAATAATGGCGGATTTCCTACAGGATGTTATAGTGATTTAAAAAGATTATGTCAATATGTGATGTGATGCTGATTTGTTAAGTAAAAAACAATGTAGAACAAGATAAAGGTAAAACGTAAACGTTAAAAGGATCGGGGTAGTAAACCCCAAAACAGTTTTGTCTCTATGGGATAAGTGTTTGTATTATTTATAAAAGGTTGTAAGGCTCAATAAACGTTGCCATAAGATATCGAAATCAATCAAGCGAAACGGAAGGACAAACGTGAAACTGCTTTTATTGGCATAAACTCTTGTTCTTTCGAACAGCTGCATTCATTCTAAACACACCACAACAGCCTACTGACGTAATGGGTTCCCTAGCGCAAACGTGACAAGAAAAGAATATGAAACGATTTTAAAAGATAATACAATATACAAATTACAGATGGACAAAACCTCAAAAAGACAGTAGAAGGATAGGAAAACTTTTCATATCGCATATTCAACTATTGACAAATATTTTACTTTAATTTTACAGGTTCAGCAGAATCTCGGCTATTGTCCGCAGTTTGATGCCCTGATTGACCAGATGACTGGTCGAGAGACGCTGACCATGTACGCTAGACTCCGAGGGGTTCCAGAAGAACAAATCAAGACTACCGTCAATGATCTGATCGATACAATGATGCTTAGGAAGCACGCAGATAAAAGCTGTGAAGTTTACAGGTACGATAAAAACTCTCATGATTACATGTACGTTTGAAATATCTTTTTTACAGGTACGATTAACAATCATGATTACAGGTACGATAAAAACTCTCATGATTACAGTGACGATAAACATTCTCGTGATTACAGGTACGATAAACACTCTCATGATTACAGGTACGATAAACACTCTCATAATTACAGGTACGATAAACACTCTCATGATTACAGTAACGATAAACACTCTCATGATTACAGGTAAGATAAACACTTTCATGATTACAGTAACGATAAACACTCTCATGATTACAGTGACGATAAACATTCTCGTGATTACAGGTACGATAAACACTCTCATGATTACAGTAACGATAAACACTCTCATGATTACAGGTACGATAAACACTCTCATGATTACAGGTACGATAAACGCTCTCATGATTACAGTAACGATAAACACTCTCATGATTACAGGTACGATAAACACTCTCATGTTTACAGTAATGATAAACACTCTAATGATTACAGGTAAGATAAACGCTCTCATGATTACAGGTACGATAAACACTCTCATGATTACAGATACGATAAAAATTCTCGTGACTACAGGCACGTTAAAAACTCTCGTGATTACAGGTCCGTAAACAATTCACGATTACAGGTACGTTAAAACGCCCATGGTAACAGGTACGTTGAAAACTCCTGTTTACAGGTACGGTAAATACTCACGTTTACAGGAACGTTAAAACTCTCGTGATAACAGGTACGTTGAAAACTCACGTTTAGAGGTACGATAAATACTCACGTGTACAGGTACGATAAAAAACTGTCATGTTTACATGTTTTTGTTTTTTTGAGGTTTTTTGACTCTGTGCAATTAAGTCATATAACAGTAGGTTTTTATGCCAGGTTTCATTCTACACGGTATTTTGAAATATATAATGACATATCTGTTTAATATCTGCTAATAAAATATGTCAATGCCTTAAACACATATAACTTTGGGTTACGTGTCAAGTTTTATTCTACACGGGATTTTTAAATATCTAATGGCATAGTCTGCTAATAAACATGTCTATGCATTTAACACATATGCGATTATAAATTTGTTTTTTACACAAACAGAATTAAAACAAAACAAATTGCGAGCTTTCGTAACGTGCTTCCTTTGCCAGGCGAAGAGCACTAATGAGCAGACGATCGGTAGTATGGTCAACTACAACTGAAAACAACTCACCAAGCAACGAGGGAATGCAGTCAGCTGTCAAAATATTATCGAGATGCATATAATTTCAAAGTCTGATACACTTCAAATTGAAGTTTTATATGTTCACTTCATTCGTCATTCAAACTTCTTTCTGTTTTCACTTTTTGTCAAATAAATACGGTAATGTTGGCCGCCGGGTTCCATTATATGACCAAACTCCTTAATCGAACAGTGAATATAGGGTTACTTCTTTGAAATATAACAAACTTGAAGACGTTACATTGATGAATTAAGATAGTGACATTTTAGGTTGTAAAAAGTATTTGTGCACTTTTATTTGAAGATCATCCCCCTCTACCAAAAATATCTTTCGAGTGTAATGTCCTGTAAAGTTATACTGTTGGTGTAAAGTGTCTCTTGATCACTTACAGCGGGGGAAATAAAAGGAAGTTGAGTACAGCCATCGCTTTGATCGGAGATCCGCCATTTGTATTTCTGGATGAGCCCACGACAGGAATGGATCCTGGCGCTCGACGAAAGCTCTGGAATGTGCTCTCTGATGTCAGAGCAAGTGGAAGGACGCTAGTGATGACGTCACATAGGTAATACTTATATAAAATTTTATCTTTACATATTATTTGTACATATATATAGCGCTTTGCGTGTAAAATGTCAATCGGATGATTTTCTACAACAATTATAACTGAATATCATAAAACCATTTCATTAATTTCAGTATGGAGGAATGTGATGCACTTTGTACCAAGATTGTCATCATGGTCAATGGGAAATTTGTCTGTCTGGGAAGTCCACAGCACCTCAAGAACAAGTTTGGACAGGGTTACACGTTGATAATACGGATAAGCGGAAGTGCAGGAGAAGTGGTACCCTCTGACCCCATCAAAAACTACGTTATGGAAACGTTCCCCAAAGCAGAAGTGTTCGGGAATCACCAAGGCTACTTACATTTTCAAATTCCAGACGCTAACATCCCGTTGGCTAGAGTGTTTGAAGCTATGGAACAGGTGAAGGACCAGTTCGACATTGAAGACTATTCTGTGAACCAGACTACACTTGAGCAGGTGTTCCTCGGATTCACTAGGAACCAGTCAACACCGTCAAACAGCGGCAGAATGATTCGATGTTGTGGAATACGTTTTTGTTAAGTAGAAGACTCTATGTATAGATTTAAACAAACATGACTTATTTACATGATTGTGGCGTCTTATTTACACGATTGTGGCGTGTTGTCAGATACTTTGTTCGGAAACATTTATAAGTGTAGGAGGGATTCAGGTACCTGTAGAAAGTATGAATGTGTGCACGTGGAAAACTTGTAATGGCTGCTGAGGCGTATCAATGTTTAACTTTTAAAGTGACATTTGTCAAGTGTAGATGTGTACTACAGGACATGTATGTTACACATGTGATACTATTTCTATGATAAGTACTGATAAAGACGATGGTAGTACTATCAAACTAGAAACAGTTATCCAGCATGATGTTACTGCTCTTGTCGTTATCAGTATTCTATTGCTAGAAAATGATGTTCTTTGTTAACAATTTTACCTGGATCAATTTTCCCCGCGTTTCTGCGATATTTTGTGGTGCCCATACAGACGGTGGTCGCTGACAGTTGAAATTGATATGAGATTCAACAGCTACAAGATCATAAACTACATGTTTTTACTTCCTGTTTGACAACGGGAACAATCAATATTTATTGACGCTTAATAGTTAATTGTTTGTTTTAGTTTGAAGTGTGAGCTAAATGGAATGGAAATATTATGATGAATGGTTAACCAACAATTATTTTTCACGAAACATGAAATAAGTAAGATTTGTGTGTGACTATTTAGCTTGCACAGACCGGAAATTGTAGTCGCTTTCCAGTTGTAACATTTCGTCACCAGTATTATTTTCCCTTTAAATACCAAACTGCTTATTTTCTTATGAAGCCCTTTTTAATTGAAACATGACTTTCGTTTTGTAAGTGTCAATCGTTTACCATTACACGATAGGATAGACGCACACCACATGTGTTTTTAACACACGTAGATCCCGTTTAATGCAGTCAGCCTGTTTTATGGTCATGAATACTTTTAACGTTTTCCTGTATTTGTACAGTATTACATCGTGCGTTCTAATTAAGCCTCGAATTAGAAACTGCATCACGTGAAGTTCATATTATCTCAGTATGTTGCAGAATCGCTATGACAGCAAGACTCGTCTGTTACTGTATTTTGTTATGGGCATAATACTTTATAAAGTCTATATTTTTACTTATTATCAACTGTGATGATTGGTGTCATACACACCAGCTTGAAATACCTGTGATATTTCTCGTATTGTTCTTTTTAGAACCGTAGGTATATGGACTGGGACATTTACAAAGAGTTTTCCTTATAATCTATACTTATGGTTTATTTACATGTATTTACTTTACTTATTGTTTAAAGTATTATTAAGCCGACATGAAAATTATGATCGCGACAATAAAGATAGATATGAAAAGAGAAAGAGAGGTTTACAGAATATCGATGTTTTTTTTTTAAATATTTGACATGAAGGGCAAACTTCTGATTTTCTGTTATATTATTCCGTCCAATTAACTTAGCTGATATAAAAGTTTAAATGCATAAGTATGATTTTATCATACTTATCATTATTATCACGTATTGGGTAAGGAGGGAACATATACATATAAACAGTCCGTCCTGATGAAGCCCTAGTAGGCAGAAAGGCCTAGCGGTAGATCTTACATATCTATTATTTTATTCATATATATAGGAGTTATTATTGTGCAATTTGTACAACAAATGAACTTTATGTTTATCTTGTAACATAGACAGGTCCTGTACGGGCAGATATAGGTAGTCCCATAACAATTCCTGCAATCGGTTTTATGTCTTTTTTGCAAGAAGATTGCTGTGAAATTTAAATCAATTTAATCATGTCATTATTATGTTTAATTAAGTTGCTATAATATGATTATTTTTATGGTGTTTTATTTTGAAGAAAACTTCAATCATTTTAATGCATTTTACTTTTTGTAGAACGGATTTGAACATGATCTCTCAATTTAGCATTAAAACTAACATAACACCTATGTATAACGACCAATGCCAACAGATTTGTATTTGATTGAATTTACGAAACGTCTTGCCACTACAGTTGAACTGAATGGTGCAAATGTCACAATAGATCGTAAACTGACCAACACTATCAAACTAAGCCACATTCTGTTGCTGAAAATATATCTTTTCGATGAAAACAAAAATGATTTACCACTGATCATAGTGAGCACGTGTGTTTTTTTCAGAGCAGGTCTAAACTTAACATATATCCATGTAAGATCAAATGCGTCAGAGCAAAGAAAAATAATACTTCGAAGGGAAATGGGGATATGCCCTTATGTCTCCTTTTCATACCTTCATCATCATCCTTTGCCACTTCGAAAACTGGTTCCTTAGAAAGGACGGTTTAATGGTATATTTGGAAGATGATAGACATACAGCTGCTGTCCTCCATTCAATTGTCGATAACCCATACTCAATGTCCTCCAAAACTGTCCTCCGTCCCTTTCATAAAACAAAATCATAATTTATTTTCACCAAATACCATCTTTATGTAGGTATAGTCTTGAGTTTTATCTAAATTTCACCGTTATGCTCTTCATAGCTATCATCTTAATATCAAAGTTGTACCCTAATCTGCAATAATATAGCTAGTCACGTATCTAAATTCTACGACGATGCCTTTATCTGCGATTAAAAAACTACCATTAAATAACACATAGGTGTCCCTATCTGCAATAATTTGGATACCTTCGAAGTACTACGGTGGTGCACCTATCTGCGATAATATAGCTACCATCTAAATGTCACGGTGATGCCCTGATCTGCGATAGTCTACACATTGCTGCCGTCCAAATACCAAGTGTAGTATTTACAGTATATCCTGTGTAAGTTCGGGGATAGAACAGTGTGTTATGTGTGTGTGCATTTCTTCAATTTATTAACAAATGACAACTAGTCAAGATTTCAAAGGGCAACACTTCCACTCATGGTTAAAAGATCAGTTCTTTTTTAGGCATCTCGGGTGTGGAACAGCTTGCCAAATGATCTTCGGTTGGCTGAAATTACAAGTCGTTTGCCGGATAATCTGGCCAAGTCTGCTCATGTGCTGGGGAGAATGAGTTGTCCCCTTTGGGTATCAACATGTGATATGTACATTTTCCCCATTCACAGTGCATTTTACTAATTTAACATAACTTGTTTTTCCTTTAATACCACGTGTTTTATATAGCAGTGATCTGAAATGCATAATAGTATTGTGCATATATATTAACTGTTGTATGCTTTGATAATGTTTGTTTTATTTTTCATTTATATGTATGTTTGTCGCAAGAATCTACGGTGCTAATGTTGTCACGTGGTTTTCCTTTTTGCGACGTTATATACAATTACTTGACTCTTGACTCGACTCTTGGTCACTCATGGCTGGCACATTCTTTTGTATTATTCAAAGACATTAGATAAAATAATACTTTGAACTTCATATATATAAACATTCGAGTTTTTATTTATTTATAGAGCTTTTATTAAGATTAAGTGTAAAATCTGTATTTCTAAAGTGTATTTTATGCAGTTTATCGGGAGGTAGTAAGCTGTACTGGATTTTGCGTACAGCCATCATGGTCTAATGTTTGTCGAGTTGTGGATTGTTAGATATTAGAGATTTATTTGTTTGAAATTTTATTTATATCGTTCTAAATGTTATTGTTTTGTGATACTTACAATGTGTTTCTGTTAATAAATAATTTATTGAAAAAAACCTTGTTTTCGTGGAAACTTTACATTTTAGTAAATAAGGCTGGTATTGGGTATCCTCAGAATGAACACAGGAGAGAATTACCGTATGAAGTAATGATAAATATACAACTGTATAGATAACGATTTATTGATAATAAAAAAGAATGTCAAGTAGAGCAAAATACTCATACGCATATTTAACAATGATAGAAAAGTCGAAGTATACACCAAGTGGTAGTTTCAGTATCGACGATATCAATTCAAACCTTGTCAATGTATAAAGCAGGGACGGGAAGATGACTATAGGCCTCCATAGAATATAAAATTCAGAGAAGATCTGAATCCTGATTGAATAATACAACGCCAAATTTATCAACGTTTCGGTAAGATTACTTTTCAAGTCACGAATGAGAATAAAAGCAGACAGACGGAAATTCTCTTTTCAATTCCTCAGGAAAAAAAATCGGAAAATTGTTCTACCCTTCAACATCTCCTAGGTACATGTATCATAGAAGGATGGTCTATCGGAAAACTGGTAGCGGAGATTCAACGCACCGACAGCGGCAAATACGGACGAAAAAGAGCAACACGGAGAAAGAGGTATGAACAACAAAAAATAATTATATTGAGAACTATACCTAGACTGTCTTTAAGTATAGTCCTGAATAGATATACAACTGATATTTTAGTTCGGCAAATAGGCAGTGACGCATCATTTTTCCGAATATCGCAGACATATGGCAGATAATGACCATGCATGCATCATACAAAAAGGCCAATCCAGGATCGGAACAAAATAAAAAAAAAAACGTTGATCATCCCAGATATAAAAGGAATATCCAAAAATGTCTAGAGGATATATTGCGTAAGTGGCATAGCACCATCCATGAAGCCTCATACAAAACTTACCGGGTAAGTCATCAGAGCGTCACACATAAACACTTAACACGCTTTCCTATCTTAACTTTTCGACAATCGGGAAGCTACCAGCCATGCTGGGTCTTATGTCAATATGTCACGTAAGCTCAGCTTGTCCGTTTCGCCCGACTGGGTTAAAAGTATATACGGAATAAGTAAGAGAGTTGCAGAAAGTTCAGACTGGGAGAGAGAGAGGATTTTCCCGCCACTGAGATTACGAGAGCTGGATCATCTGTTGCCTGGGTGCTGCGTGTGCGCTATGCTGGATTTTGTGTGAATAGATTGCAACTTATATACATGTACTCGATGTTACCGTTGTTACCGCTCTATCACAACCTAGTTCGTAGGTTGTCTCAAAGCGGTTCACAATTTATTATCCGTGGTTATAGGGCCTTTCCAACCAGCCAATACCTTTCTCAACTCCCTGGGGAGCAAACAGCCGGAGCTGCCATTTCGGCGCTAACAGCTAGCATTCAAACAATTCTAGCACTGCCCAACCACGTACTCATTTACAACTGAGTAGACTGGAACAAGCAGAGTAAAGTATCTTGCTCAAAGATACAACAAAGTGCCGTGACGTGAATCGAACCAGCAAACCTTGTCACGAGCCGGCGTTCTACCACTAGACTACCGTGCCTAGGGCCCCTAGAAAATAAACCCAGTAGATTACTAACAATAAGCCTGCAGGATCTCATCGTTAGAAATACAAAGGATAGTCAATAGAAACAGCATCAAGTTATGGTTTGGCTTTTTAAACTTTTTTACTTACATGCATAGACCCTTCGGTCACGAGCCCGGTGTCCTACCACTAGACTACCGTGCCTCCTCTAATAAAGTGAAAAACTCAGAGACTGTGTTGATTTGTGTGCTGCTCGACTGTCCATTCTATCTTTAAAATTATTTGGGTATTATTGATTGTTTTCGACACCACGCGGACGATTACAAAGGGCTTCCGACGACGGCGACGAGCTGTACGCGACAATTGGTGGTAGCGATGTGATCAAATTGGGGTACTAACTACTCGTATTTAAGGCATATGAAACAATACTAAAACTTTCACAACCAGGAGTCTTTGATGGATTCAGAATTTGTTAAATTCACGTAACACCAGCAGACCCTGGGAGCGGAAATATCTCGCGACCAAAACTCCCCTAAAAAGGAGCTGGCAAGATTTGGGTGAAGATGACGAACATTCGACGTGTTCATGTGCGTGTCCTTTCTAGTGGTCCTAATATTAGGACTATCTATTGTGCTGGTGTATTGGAGCTTCACTTATATTGTACAGGCACCATACAGACATTCTATGCGAAGAGGACACATTGGTTAATTATGTGTGTGCTTGTGCTTATTAGCCCTAATTTCCTTACAAATGAGGAGATTGACGATTAACATCATATAAACGGCGATAACGATCATCAAGGCCAGTAATCGTCTATAGAGGAATGGCTGGACATTCTGTTGTGCCGTATGCTGACGAAGATGGGGCGGGGAACGCTCTGCGGTCGCGATCGGAACCTTTGTACACTAGTAGTACACGAAACCAGAGTGTCCGGTAAGGAGAACTTTTACAGGCCAGAATTCCGATACCTGGTCCGAATTTTTAGAATACTGTGAAAATATGGCTGTACTGCACAACTAGACTCTGATGAGGAAAAGACGAATGCTATGTTATGCCCATGTTCTTCCCTGGTTTATAAGAAGAAGTACTTGTTTGGCAGAAAAACTTGAGGAAAGATTCAGACACGCCGCCTTGAAGGAATATGTGACAGAAGAAAAGTGACGACGACGGCAAAATGAAGAATCGCTCAGGGAATTTGGTCAAGCCATAGAAGATTTCTACCGGTGGGATTATCAGGACAAACCTGGATAAGCGGAGGAACATCTATTACAGGCACTTTGAGATAAACGTAGTGAATCAGAGGAACATCGCTTCGCGGTGAAGAGGACCAAACCATATAATATGAATGAAGCGATTACTAATGTGATGCAGGAGGAATGTCTCCGTGTTAGAGAGAGGAAATTAAGGAAGGAAGCGAAACCAGGCGTAAGGCCTGTTTTGGGAGTTGACTCATAAGGAAACAGACGGAATATGGACAATATACGCCGAGGAGATATCCCGGATATAAAAGAAATGGACGACGGAAGACTTTCGGTAGGAGGGATTAAAACGACAGTCGACCGGACCGGAGGGACTTGGTCGGGTCGAATCAAAGAAGAAACCCATGAAATATGATGATCACGGTAAAATGATTAAGTAGGAAACGAAGGATCGGGTAAAAACAAACGGTATCGGGGAAATATACAGACCCCCTTGAGGGAAACTGGAAATAAATCCAGGTACAAAACGTACGCCAGAGCGTTCCAGAGCCCACACACTAATCTATAAAACAAACCTCTTGGACTTTATCGCCACTCGAAAGTCGAAACCAAGGGGCACTCGGCGTGATGCAATTGGCGAGAGTTCACATTCGGACATCGAGGATTTTACGTCACGGAGATTACTAGAGCTGGATCGTCTGTTGCCTGAGTAATGCGTGTGCGCTATGCTGGATTATGTGTGAATATATTGTAACTTGTATACATGCACTCGATGTTACCGTTCTTATATAATAAAGTTAAACACTGAGACTGTGTTGATTTGTGTATTGCTTGATTGCCCATATATTCTATCTTTAAAATTACTTGGGTATTGTTGAGGTTGTCCAACTCTACGTGGACGCTTACAGAGGACTTACGGCGACGGCGACGAGCTGTGTACGGGTGGTACGCGACTATACTATTCCTGTCGAGCGAAACGGGCAAGCTGAACTTACGTGATCTATTGACATAACATTCATTCATTCATTCTTTATTACCTTAAACCTTGCGGTTTATCAGTACAGTCCATATATACAGTGCAAATTATACAGTACATATATACATATATATAAGAGTACATAGAATACAAACTTCCGACCATGCATATACGATAAAATCACAGAGAAAGTGTAGAGAGTGATTCCTTTAATCTTAAACAGTATTGCATCTCCTTTTTTGACATTAGTTCAGATATTTGGCTAAATTAATAAGTTCTTTATTATTCCTTGTTGTCATCAAATCTAAAAGAATTGCCATACTAGGTTTTTTATGATAATATTTTTTAATGAAACGGTTTCTTAAATCTGTATAATGACTACATCTAATAATAAAATGATATTCGTCTTCAATATCACCAGTGTTACAATATATACAATTCTATCTTTTCTCTCTAAACCATAAAATCTACCCGTTTCAATATTCAACATAACAGGTATAAATGTTAATAACTTTCCTATTCTTCTCTCTTAGTATGCAGATGATACTTCGCTGATACTTGACGGGTCAGAAAAATCTTTACGGGAATCAATTTTGGAACTGAATTTATTTGCTCATATTTCTGGTTTAAAAATCAATACTAACAAAACTCAGGTAATATGGATAGGGAGTAAGAAATACAGCGATGACCCTTTTTTTACCAGAATTAGGTTTACAATGGGGTAGGGATTTTACACTTTTGGGGATAGACTTTAGCGTTAATTTACATGAAATACCTAAATTAAACTTTGACAAAACATCGATTAAACTTAAATCTCTAGTTAAGTCATGGAGTAGAAGACGATTAACTCCTATTGGGAAAATACATGTGATTACATCATTATTGATTTCACAATTTGATCACTTGTTCATTTCACTACCCAACCCAAGCATTACTTTTATTAATAAGTTAAATACTGTTATATATAACTTTCTTTGGAATGGCAAAACAGACAAAGTGAAAAGAAATGTTATAACTAAAGATTATTTTGAAGGGGGTCGGAAAATGGTCAACACCAAGTCTTTTATAGATGCTCTAAAACTAGGATGGTTAAAGAGATTTTTTCAAAGTACATGTTCTAAAAAGTGGCAAGTTATACTTATGAATATTATTAATGTTGATGTTATTATGAATTATGGAAATAATTACCTACGTATGTATCATAGGACATGCAAAAATATGTTTTGGTGTGATGTTTTCAAAGCTTGGGAAAGATTATTAAATTTTGATTTACCAAAGGGC